GTCGCCGAAGGCATTTTCACATCGTAGTAGCTGAATCTGTATACATAGCTTTTAGTCATGTAATGTATTTTTTCCTTATATTACATTAATGGAAATATTTATTTGTTTTTTTGATAATGACTATGTTTGTAACCGTGTATAAATAAAGATGATGATGATGATGATAATGATGATGCAATGACGGGAAGGAATATGCAAATAGTCGTGCTGCACGTGCAAAGTTATTGATTTTCCTGTTCATCCTATTACATTTCTAACCTCGTCAGTGCCGTTACCTGTCCTGGCGTCTTGAACTCCCTACTGTCATGGGCGAAGGGATCACTGCCAACGTCATTGACAGGGCCGGCATCAGGTAAATACAGTCGGTTGTCAGTAAAACGCGGGGTCGGGGCCGAGGCCGGGGTCGGGGACGGGGCCGGGGCCGGGGCCGGGGCCGGGGCCGGGGCCGGGGCCGGGGTCGGGGCCGGGATCGGGGCCGGGGTCGGGGCCGGGGCCGGGGCCGGGGTCGGGGTCGGGGCCGGGGCCGGGGCCGGGGCCGGGGCCGGGGCCGGGGCCGGGGCCGGGGCCGGGGCCGGGGCCGGGGCCGGGGCCGGGGCCGGGATCGGGGCCGGGGTCGGGGCCGGGGCCGGGGCCTTTTTCTTTTATGAAAGAATGCTGTATTAGGGTTAGGGGTTTGGGTTGATACTAACCCTAATTCCTAACCCTAAAACAGCATTCTTTAAAAAAAAAAAACGGGTAGGCCCCGATCCCGGGCCCGGTCCCGACCCCGCGTTTTACTGACACCCCAATACAGTGAACCTTGCCTAGTCCCTAGGCCTTATTCTTGCGCGCGACCGATGCGCTTCGGGGCACGTGGTCCGAGCGAGTTTCTGGCCGTTCGTCTCCTATACGTAAACGAAATTCATTGACCGAGAAGGCCTGGAAACGCGCCGCACAGGGACTAGGAACTGTCAACCCTCGCCTTGCGGACTGACTCGCTATTACAAACACCCCGATAATACGGATAGCAGCAGCTGTATCCCCGGCGAAAAGAAATTACAGCTGTTGAGCTGAAAAAAACTTCCGCTGTTGCGGAAAGACACTAACCAGTATCTGCAATAAGGGGAGATGGTGAACTGTATGACGCTAGCAAACGCCTCGCGAATATTTTTTCTTTACTCCACTTTGTCTCTCTTCACATAGGTGTATAAATGGGTACTGGCGACATACTCCTGGGGGATAACCCTGCGATGGACTAGCATCCCCTTCAGGGGGAGTAGCAATACTCCTAGGTGCTTCGTGCTAAGAAAACTGGGATAAGCTCCGGCCGTATGGGCCTTTGGCTCGTGTGCGCCGTTACCTTTACCTGTTATAACATTGAGTTAGCCGTATAGGTCGACTATGCAGATATTGACAGTGGCAGGAAATGGAGCTTATCTAATTGCGTTATGGTTCAGCGATTTTAAGACACATGTGACCTCATGACCAAATTAAGACATGACGCACATAAATTTAAAATCAAATGACTCAATCGATCTTAGACCTCCAAAACCGGTTGAACCACCTAAAAAAGCGTATGACGTTAACTTAATATTCTTTCGCATTTCATTCATTACATAAATGTAATGGCGTGACCGCATGCGTGACACGCCTAGTGATTAGTATGCATACCGTATTTATTCGAATAAGCGCCCAACCTCGAATTAGCGCCCACCTCGAATAAGCGCCCATCCTAAAGGCAGAAAAAGTTAATAAGCGCCCAGCCTCGAATAAGCGCCCACCCCACCACACCTCCCTCCCACTCCCACTCAAACTCAAATTAGCAACCACCCCTAAAGTTGAATAAGTACTAATAGGAGACTTCCCCGACGACGGAGTTTTCTTCAAAGTATTTACAGGAACCTTGCTTTGTTACATCTTCGCGTTCTGTTATTACCATTTATTGTTTTGTTGGAAAATACACATACTACACTTGCTGAAAATGTTGAAAATTTAATGAGCGCCCAGCCTCGAATAAGCGCCCACCTCGAATAAGCGCCCACTCTCAAGGTCCAAAAATTTAATAAGCGCCCAGGGCGGTTAATCGAATAGTTTTAGAACGTGCAGCTTGTATTATAACGTACGTGGTAAAGGATTGTGAAAGACCTACGATGTAAGCTCGACATTAAATTGGCGACGAGGTAAAAGTGGAATGGCGGTAAACATTGGATACAAACAATTTCCCGAATTCGACGTTCGGAATGACCCCGAAACGGTATACGCGCGCTTCTCAAAATATGCTAAGCGGTTCAAGAACAACCACTTGAAAGCCTACAACATCACAGACAAGCACCAACAAAGATCATTGTTCCTAGATTCGATAGGCGAAGCCACACTAGATATATTCGAACAGCTTGACGATACGGGAACGGATTTGGACGGAGCTATCACCGCACTTCTGAACAAGTTCAAAGAATCGCAAAACCGGCTGTTCAATATACACAAATTTCGTTGCACTATACAGGGAAAAGATGAAACCTGGGACTCGTTCATCGCTAGGCTAAAAGCAGAGGGCGAACACTGTGATTTTCCGGCAGAATGGTTGGATACAGAGATATTAATGGCCATGATAACGAACGGCAAATCAAAGAGAGTGAGAAGAAAGCTTTTGCAAGACCAACTAACGCTAGCTGAAGCTCTCAAATACGCTCGTGGCCTTGAGAGTGCGGATCAACACGCTACAAGAGTAGAAAACTCAGACATAGAATGGTGGAAATTGCGCACGAGGGTCATCAGGGCCAGGTGCGAACAAAACAGCTTTTGAGAGCACATGTATGGTTTCCCGGAATGGACTCACAATGTGACAAATTCGTGTCCACTTGCATCGCCTGCCAATCTAACACGCCGCAAACGCATCGCGAGCCACTCCGGATGACAGACCTACCGGAAGGACCGTGGGAGAAGGTCAGCGTGGATTTTTGCGGACCAATGGCGAGTGGTGACCTCGCCCTCGTATTTTACTGTCAATATGCCAGATACCCAGTGGTTGAATTCGTGGGATCCACGAGCGAGAAAGCAACAATACCGACTTTCAAGAGGGTGTTCGACACATATGGAGTGCCAAAAGAAATCAAATCAGATAACGGACCGCCCTTCAACAGCCATAAATTCGAAGAATACGCAAAAGAGGAGGGGTTTAAGCACCGGAAAGTGACACCCGGGTGGGCAGAAGCCAACGGCGATGTAGAAAGGTTCATGCAGAGAGTAAAGAAGGCCGCTCGGATCGCCTCTTTGGAAGGCAAACCCGTGAGGGATGAAGTGAACCGGGGAATCAGGGCATACAGAGCAACTGAGCATGCGACAACTGGAGTCAGCCCGAACAAGCTCATGTTCGGAAGGGAATTACGTGGAAAGTTCCCTGAAGTCAAGGGACAGCCTAAATACAGGGATGACACGATGATCCGCTGTCGGGACCGAGAACAAAAACAGAAGATGAAACAATATGCTGATAAAAGAAGACACACAGCCGTGATGAAAATTAAAGTCGGGGACACTGTGTTGTGCAAGCAGGAACGTAAAAACAGCCTGACCCCTCTGTATGACCCGGAGCCTATGGTAGTCATTGGCGTCAAGGGAAGCTTGGTCACTGCCAAGAACAGTGTTAGGATTCGCACCAGGAATTACGCCGATTGGAAACTGCTCAAAAATGGTTGTAGGGAATCACCGCGGTGTGATGATTCTGACAGCGGTGAGGCATTTGAACCGGATGAAGTTATAATTGAATGTCCAGAGCAATCCTTAGCAGGGCCGAGTGGGGATGCATTGCCAGCGGACAGACCCTTAGCAGGGCCAAGTGGAGATGCAGTTCCAGCGGACAGACCCTTAGCAGGGCCAAGTGGAGATGCAGTTCCAGCGGACAGATCCAGTGAATCAAGGCAAGGTCATGAGCAGCCAAGAGCAAACAGCGACACAGCTGAGTACGAGAGTAGGCAGAGATCTCGGCAGCCCGGATCAGACCGTGACACAGAGCGAAGACATGTGCCCTTGGACAGGCCCAGAAGGAAAACAAGATCCACAAAGGACACAAGGGCTTACTCGTTATTAGCAACCTTTAATTTATTTAGTTTATTTATTTATTTTTTGTTTGCTGTTTTCGTTCGCACCGTTGCGTCCCATCCACGTGATGGGGGGAGAGATGTAATGGCGTGACCGCATGCGTGACACGCCTAGTGATTAGTATGCATATTTGGGGTTATTAGTTTTAGAACGTGCAGCTTGTATTATAACGTACGTGGTAAAGGATTGTGAAAGACCTACGATGTAAGCTCGACATTAAAATAAAGACAAAAGGCTATGGTGTGTTAATTTACTCATCCGCAAAGTATTAAACGGAATTTCTCCGCAGAAAGGGTTTAATTCGGAGCGCCCTACACTACTGCAGTAACTGGAGATAATGCTTTGAGAATACAAACTCGAAGGTGGGGAAATCCAGCATAACTATTTAATCAATATCTTATCTGAGCAACAACTGAAACCATTTCTTTAAATGTCATTTATTACCCGACATCACGTCCGTTGCTATTCTTCGCAATGTTAAAATGTGTCACGAGCTTTTCGGCTGTTTTATTTAAACTTACAATCAAATTTCTTCTTCTAAACTGTAAAGTACATTGACTTTCCAAGTTCACGTCAAAGCAAACCGTTCATGTCAATTTGCACGTAACAACGATAACAAATTACTGAGACAAAAACACCGTGAATAAATGTGATAAAGGGTATACGTTAAAGTTCCCTAAATGTTGGGAGGGATTAACAATGCAAACTGAAATAATATCTCAAATAAAGCAAGACAAGGTCTTCAAAATAGAAGGCGTTCTTGTGCTTTAAATAAATCTAGAAATGATGTAATAATCGTCAGCTCTGTCGTAAAAACGCCTTGCCATAAAGAAATATTTCTTGAAGTTAACAATGAATGGCCCAATGAAAAATGGAATTTTCAAGATGGAAACCTGTGTTCTGTTAATCAAAGTTTGCGCTTAAATTAAACGTTATTGATAATTTATATGTTAAATGTGGTAACAAACTAATACAAGCCTCATATCAAGCTTAAGAAACTTTGACAATATATGTGCTAAGAACCCAGCGATTAGGCAGTGCTTTTAATAAAGAAAATGTTGAAAGAATTCGTCTCCTCAACATTTTTCTTGTTTGTGAAGCTTTCTGCGTGGAGACCACGATAAAGTGGTCATAATACAAGACTTCGGTGTAACTTGACGAAAAATGCTCCTCTTGGCTAGGGTGTCTTCTAGTCATCTGTGCCAAACACTACAAAAGGCATGGACTGAAAAGGTAGTCTAAAGGGCCCACTAGATTCCCAGCACCGGATGCCGGTACAGATAAAAGCATTCTTGACTTTCTTACATTCGCAAGGCGGCTAATGGCCTAGAACTAGCAAAACCAGTGAATTTGCCGTTGAGTTGGGGTGTTGTAAGCCCTTGCGTGATAAGGTCCTCAACATCATGTTGCGAGGGAAAGTGAAGTTATCAGCAGCTTTTCTTGCCAGATTGATCAGCTGTGTTTATCAACTATCCTTCTGTTGGTGTTTTTTCTGCTCCTGTAACAGTTGCTGCAGAGGTGACATACCCTCGGATGGAGACGCGGCGAAGTCTGATCCCCAGATGGACTGCAACCCAAAACCAAATACATTAACTGTTTTAAAATAAGCCAGGACCACATTAATAAAAAACAAAGGAATAATTCAACTTGGCTTCGATCTGCATGCATTCACATTGGGGGATTGAGTCCACTTTGATTACGAGCAAGTTAACAACACCGCAAATGAACCAAGTATGACACAGTTTGGTCATTTTTCTGCGAAAGTATACTCTATTCTAGACCCAAATTCAGTAGTATATTTACCCTGTCCCAAACTGAACTGCTTAATGTGGACCTTTTTTGTGTTCTGATTGGCTCCCTTGGCGGGCAACATGGACCCATATTATCGGTACGGGATTTCTCTAGCCTGGGACCAGGCTCCGCAGTGGGGAAAAAGGCAAAAACGGAGTGAAACATTGGCGAGCAAAGCGAGTCCAGCTGTGGACTGGGGAAGAGGAAACCGCCCTTTTTCCTCCCCAGACTTCCTCTCCGCTCCCGTCCCTGGCCGATTTTTTTTTTTGTTTTTCCCCCACTGTGAACCTGATCTCAGGCTAGGATTTCCTGCGTTGGTCCCGCAAAAAAGTTCTCTTTTTGGCCATATAATCAATCCTTCATTAACCAGCTTGTTCGGTCAAGATGGCTGGACATTGGCCTCCTCATTGATCCCGACTTTGTCTCGGTCCATAAAACAGCAAAAAAGAACTTGGCCAATGTCCAGCTATCTTGACCTCAGGCTTGATCAATAACGCATAAATGCGAGAGGGCAGTCATCCCCCTCCCTTGGGGAATAACTCTCTTAAAGCAAGGAAAGATCCACGGTAAATTTAGAGAAGTAAAAATACGGATAGAATTCCCCTTTCCAGAAACTATGAGGGAAAAAGGTACCAGCTTTCGGCGCAATGATTTCTGGGATCGTTTGGGAGGACAAGCGTTATTATGATAGGTTAACGGTTGCCCTGACTACCATCAACTAATCATAACCAACGCTTAGCCACCCAAACGAACCCAGAAACCGTTGCGCCGAAAGCTTGTACTTATTCCCTTGTTACCTGTAGACCGTGATTCCCAGCAGGACTTGTTCCTCCACTACCGCTGGGAGTTGACGAATTGGGAGCCCAGACCCCTGAACCACCCCAGCCACCACTGAACCCAAAGCCACCAAATGGAGACTGGGAGGGAGAATGATAGTTGGGCTGCATTCCAGCTGCAGGGAAACTGGCTCCAAAGCTGGTGGGTCTGCGGTTCTCAACAGTTGGGGAGGGAGGGTAGGTGGAAACACAGAGCTACTTCCTGGACTAGCCAAATGATCGGTGGGGGTCGCACGGTGATTTGGTGGCTTACCACCGGGTCTTGCCGATGAATTTTCTATACATTACAGGGAACAAAAGATTAATTTTTTCCATCTTGGCAGGATCTCACGATTCACAGGAAAAATATTAACAGGCTATTCGTGTTACTTATAGAGCGTATATTTAGAAGGCTCAAAGATAAAATTGGCGCGAATTGCACACGTTAATTCTGTAACCGTGGACGGACTCATAACTTCAAGAAAGTATTTCTTCCTTAGCTTACCCCTTCCTAACTGGTGTCTTTTATCTCTCAAAGGAGAGTTTGTACATGTAAGACAACTACTTTGTTAGTGCCTCAGCTAACTGAGATCGTTTAGAGGATTAGACCAAAGAACGACAGTCCGTCCAGAGATGATACTGTACTATTAGCAAGAAAAGTGAAGGCCGTAGGTCATTTTCCAGTTGCCTTAAGCCTGGTGGACATCTGCCTCAAGCCTCTGTTTCAAAGCGAGGCTAAGTATGAAGCCATTGATATGAAAATGACTTTTTGTTCTCATGCAAATAAAACTCATTTTCGCGCTAAGCCTCGTTTTGCAAGTCTCCCATGGCAGTGTTGGAATCGGTAGTATAACCCGGTTTCCTCTGCATAAAACCCTTGGGTACCGCTAGCAACCCCTTTCCCCTGCCTTGATGCTCTGCTAGGCATGCGACATCGTGATTAAATTTATCCCTAATGAAGGAGTCATTCCCAGCCACTTCGCTTCGGATCTCCGCATAAGTAACTCCTAGGGAGGTGTAGTGTACCTGGATGGGCAAGAGCTGCAGAAGTCAAGGAAACATTCCATCCTGATTGGAACAATGAATACTGAGCTACAGTGGAGGGGGAGGGTGGAACGTGTCCTACTGGGGTGTGACCAACATCTAATGGACCCTTGAACAAGGAGCTGTGTATCAAAAAACCGCCATGTTAATACAAACAATTTTCAAGAGCGGGCTGGTGGCATTGTTACGCTTTCTTATTAGGTAAGAAAATGTCCCGTGGCCCACTTGTTCAACCAATAAGCGGTAAAACCGCCTCTCGCCGCTAACTTAAATTTTAAGTAAAAACTGTTTGTTTATTGGATGGTGCGCCTGTTGGAAAGCCGCCTTAAACAGAGAAACGTAGGGTTTCGACTTCTAAAATTCAACATATTTGCTGAAAAAAAATTTATGAAACATGCATACATTCAGTAAATCAAATTTAAAACAGAAAACTACAGAAAAAAATATGAACGATTAAGATGATCCCTGCAGGTTGCAAAAGAACTGAGAAATCTCAAGCTTGACCTATTTTGAGCTGACAATGACGGGCGTTTACATCGCGCCTTTTAAGCTTAGTGCTTGTAGTCATACCGATGTAGTGCTGTAAAACCGTGACTAATTGTCTGCATCTTTCTGTTTTCCTCTGTTGTGAAAGTAAGGAAGGACATTTGCACTATCAGCGAATGATGCATAACTTTCGTTACGAGGCACTTACCTAGTTTCAGCAAATGGGGTTCCTACTGGTGTAGCCTGGAAAAAATAAATGATGAGACCTCTTACATTGTAGAGGGATAATTTCACAATCCATGAACATGATCATATACATGTGAAAAAAGGAGGTTTTTAACAAAACAAGGTCGCCTTCGGCCTCGCTTCTATTCAAAGGCCAGGGAACTGAGGAAAAACCTAAAAAATGGCTTATCTGCTAACGAGACAATAGATGAAGGATACAAGAGTGTCCAAAGCCCTAAAAACTACTAGCAGGCGTGTTTTGAAAGGCCAATAGTTAGAGGTTTCATAGCCTGGGACCAGACTCCACAGTTGGGGAAAAAAAAAAAAAAAAGCGAGCCAAGCGGTGGTCTGGGAAGGGAAAAGGGTGAGCTCGCCGAATTTTGTATGCCTTTTCACTCCGTTTTTTGCCATTTTTTTCCCATAGCGAAGCCTCGTCCGAGGCTAGAGGTTTCTGAGACCTTCATGGGGCCAGGTTTCCTGACTGATAGAAATGTAACCCTGTGTTATTTTCAGTTTGAAGAAGTTGTTTCTATTCCGGAACTGAAATGCTCGGCTCCACAAGCTTTACTGCGATAAAACTAACCCAGGATAAGCAAGTCCGGAGAAACACAAACACACCCCCGCCGGCTTTACCTTGTTCAGGGTAGGTAAAGAAGCCAGTAACTTTTGTCCTGCCGATTCTAAATCGATGTCTTGAGGTGACTTGGGAAACTTCTCCTCTTGAGATGAGACCTACAGAGAAAAAAAACTAAAATTTGCAATGCACTTTTCAAAAACGGTAGCATGACACCCTAACAAGTTGTATGGTTGGTTATTCAAACCACCGTGAAAACAAAAATGATAGTGTGAGAAGGACACTGCATTATACTGTAGCCATAGAAACCAAACAAGCAAAGCAGAACAAAAACAAACTTTGCCTATGATATCATATCATAGATGAGAACGAAAGAAATGAACTCAAGTGATTGTCGCTAGGGAGTCAGAATGTCCAAAAATGGTCTAGGTTTTCGAGAAGGTTTTCGTTCAAATCCCGTTCAAGCCTTGAAAAAGGATATTTCTTTGGTAACTAACATTAATGCGAAAATAATTACTGCACTTATTTTTTTAACCTTGGGGAAGAAAAAAAGCGAGATAACGGGTAACAAAATTACGAAATTACCTCTTCAATGGGCGAGGAAGTGTTTATCTTCAAAGAAAAGTTTGATAGACCAGTCGCAAGATCTTCCACTTTAGCCAAGATACTGAAAATGAAAACGACAATTTAGTGACAAGCTGAAGGATGGTATCCAATTCGTGGAACCGCAGCAAGGTCAGTTCAGTAGCTTGGAACAACGAGTATAGCGCACGAGCAGGCAGTCTCACTTGTACCCCATTCTTCTTGCGCGCTGATGTGGAAGGCATTGGAAACGGCTAGAGTTTCGAGTGGCTGGGCTGGCCTTGCAGAAAAGGCGGTCCTGAACAATAACACCATCATCGTTCACCTAGTCTGCAGGAGAATTACTGACTCGTTGGCGTGCTTCAGGAGCTCGCTAGCGCGCAGGTCGAATTCCTCGAAAGGAAAAAGAAGGGAAAACATCTGGAGGACAGACTACCGTTTCTCCTTCAGAAGTTTTATTCGAGTTGCCTTTTCCGTCGACAACCACTCTGTGCTCACGAGCAAGTTTTTTCAATTGATATTTTCCCCATTTAGTAAGACGCGTCTTTACCTCGCCCCTACAAAAATGGCCCTAATATGACAAAAGAATTTCCATCTTTTAATTTCTTATCTGTGGAAACTTAGCTTACCAAGGAGCGTTGTTCGCCAGACGATTTCCAAACCTAACAAGCCTGCTAACTCTGTGAGCAGATTCATCATCGGGCCGGGTCCTCTTCATGCTATACGTAAGCTTCCTGTAAAAACAACAGAAAACGAGAGAAATTACGCCACAGAGAGATTTGACAACCACCACGACGTCGCAAGATACCCTGGCCACCAGAGGTCTTCTTCTCGCGTGTGCTAGGTTGCTTGCCGTCGCCGTCGTAGTGACCGAAACCGGAAAACGCGCATGAAAAGTCTCCACGGCACAAGGAGAACGTCTATGAAAAATACATCAATCAAACAAACAGCATCAAGCTCAGTTGTCTCAGTCTCACATACCTCTGACTGACTCTAAGAGGCAGAAAACTTTGAAGCTCCCAGTCTTCATGAAGGGGAATATCTATTACATAAAATTGTCGGTGATCAGATCAATAAAGACACTAAGTTCTTTAACACCCTAAAATAATAAAGATGCGAAGTTATTGTTACTTAAGTTAATTAAGTCTAACGTAGCCGGGAAAATCATGAATCGGATTTGAGGCCTGACCCTAACCCTAACCTTTAACCACGACGAAAATAGAGCTTATTTAACCATTAGCAAACAAGAAAACACAAAAAATCTTCCTCTTTTAAAAAAGAAAAAGAACGCAAAACTCTTCATGCAAAAGAAATCGAAACGATAGAGCTTCTTTCAGTTGAGAGCGTCCCACTGTTCTTTGGAGCGTTTCGTGTTTACGATTTCGGTATGAAAAAACCTTCGATCAATTAAGCAGCCTATTGGGATTCAATTTTGAAAGTACAGTATTCCATATCTTAGCTTCCCCTATGATCAGTAACCAGGAGACCCTCGCAGTAAAAGCCTGCACTTTGGAGCACACATTAAGAAACCGATTTTCCTTCATTTGTTCAAGAAATTTCTAATGACTCCCATAATATGTAATGAAATCGTTAAAGAATCATACTGGGAAGAGAACAGGATGAGTAATATAGGAACAGCTGGTTCGAGTTACGAGAGAAGAGGTTTCTTTCAGTCCTTACCAGTTCTCTCAGGCAGAGGAGAATGCGTCACTTGAAGAAGATTCAGTAGAGCAGCAAAATTTTCCCAAATCCTAAGAAGTCAATTGATAAACCCGGTACTTTATTTCAATAATGCGGCTTTCAGTGAAATGATGAATACATGAATTTCAAAAAGAGGCTTGGAAATGGCCCATTTGACAAAAGTGTTAAACATCTACGTTAAAAAAGCTAAGTATCTAATAATCGCAGCGGAGCCCCATACCCATAGAACATGGAACCTATTGACTACGACGTCAGTGTAGGAAAGCCCGCCCGTATAGACTCTGGGAGTAGGGGTAAAAAAATCAGTAGGGTAGGGAAGGGAGTCCCAGACATGTACGTTGCGTTTCGTTTTTGGCGCAAAATTAACTCTTCTAGGGGCCACCAACGGAGTTGCTCGAGAAAAAGCTTAGATTTAAGCTTCTTGTGTTCGACTTACGGCGAAATTCTCAAATACATTTCTAAAGCTCTGCTTTTTGCCTGGTCACGCTTTTGTCACACTCCACGAACAAACTAGCCTCCTCCCCTCCTCGCTTGGTTTTCAGTAATTAAAAGTACACAAATGGACGCTTCGCTTTTAGCCTTGGCTAAATCTATATAATAGATATGCTCACTTTGTTCTTTTGAGAATGTCTCCATTCCAGATGTTTGGTGATGAACCGGCCATCCACTGACACAAGAGATTCACAGAAGGGAGCACATCACAGCTTTCTGCTATAGATTGCTGCTGCTCAGTACTTGAAGCAGGTGGTCCAGTCTCACAAGCATGCAACACAAGTGCATCGAATAACTCCACTTTAAAAAAAAGCCAAGACAGGGATATGTGAACTGAAGTACTTGGACTGCGAGTAATGATACACGGGAGAGGCGAAGTTGTAAGCTGCGAAAAACAAGAGCCTAAGCCCCCGAAAATCTTTCCTTGTCTCGCCCCAATCCCATCTATTTTGTACTTCGTTGTTTTGAAAACGTGCTCGCCGGAATAAGAGCTCGACTGATTTCAAGAGAGAAAGCCGACTGCAACACTCGGGAAGAAACAGCCTAGTTTGCCACTCCATTGGCACAAAAGGCAATTGGCTGGACACGTGCAGATATCAATTGATGTGTTTCTTTCCTTTCGTGGATTGCTCTAATTTTAACAATAACAACCCTCCTAACTTTCCTAAGAAACGGTCAAGGCGCTTACCTAGGGCAAAGCTGCATAACAGGCGCTTTGCGAGCCAAGCGAGGCGAACGCGGGCACTAAAGGGAAAGAGCCTTATTTCCAGTAGACGTGTGTCGCTTAAAAATGTATTTGCATAAGCTCCCTCTAGTAATGTTAAGTTTTCAACCCTTTTAAAAAAATCCATTCAACAAGAGCACACCTGTAAACTCTAGAGTCAGCTGCCAGCATTCCTGTATTAAGATAAACATTTAGACACAATTGAGAATTACACAAAGAAGACGTTGGCCAAACATTAGTCAGGTTGTCCAACCCAGGGAATAGTATCATTTTTTGTTTTTGTTTTTATCATATTTGCATGTACCTGTACTGCAACCGTTTGGGCAAGTTACTTTGCACCCATAGCAGTCCATACCCCAAACAACACATGACAGGCTGAACATAGTGTGGGATGTGAACAGTATGGTGGGTCATATACATGTCCCCTTCGAATTGGATAGATAGTTCATTGGAGAAAAAAAGAGAGGTCTTTTAGCCAGGAGCCGATTCCCCTGTTTCAGCACAACGTCACAAGCTAATGATGCAGGTATCTGATCTGCGATAAGGTCTTATATGGTAAACGTAAAGCACCTGATTTTACGTTGCTAACCGTTAAAAGTCATCCTTTGGCTGACAAACCTGAGATGGACGCTGCCCTCATTCTACTCGCCCCTCCCCACCCCCCATCCTCTAGATTAGTACTCCGTTTTACAGGAATTTAAAAAAAAGCTACACGGAAAAAAGAAGTCGAAAAAGGGATTTGAGGTCACCCCTTGGAATCGAACTAGAAACCTCCAAACTGAAGGCCGTGCACCAAGCGCACAGTTGGTCAGTACGCGGCCTTCGGCGCGAGAGGTCCCGAGTTCGATCCCCGGTGACATCATATCTTTGTTTCGAGTTCTCTCTTGTCTGTGTAGCTTTAACTAGCTTTAATACCCTTAAAACGGAGCACTGATGGAGAGAGGGGGCTAAAATGAGCGCACTGTCGACCTCAAGTTTATCAGTTGAATTGCGGTTACGAGTTGTCAACGTAAAATATGGCTGCTTTACCTTTTAACCAACTGCGCCAATCCTTACACCTTGATCAGATGCATGTGAACAGGATTATACATTATCTTTCTCCCTTCCAACAGTGATTAATTGATTTACCTCTTCATCTTTGCCGATACAATCAAACTCCTCCAGATCATCCGCTGATCCACCTGTCCGTATGTTCCACAGAACAAACAGAGTGATGGCTACCAGTTTATTAAGCAACTGCGAAGTGAATTTGTTCTTCTTTAAAATTCCCTGTTAAAACAGAAGTAAAATTAATATGCACTAGTTAATCCAAACAAGTACATTAATTAATTAACTGATAGTAAAGAAATGTGATTTCCTTATTCGGGCTGTGATCAAAAATTATCTAATTTTACTAGTGACCGAAAAATACTCACTTTGAATGCAGTTATTATGCGGTCTTTAAGAGTTCTCGCTTGATCAAGATCTGTATTTAAAAATAGTAAACAATTAAAACATTTCCGTACACGTATTTACCAAAACCGAGTTGGGCAAAAATGAACATTTATATGTTAAAACTATGGGCACTTGCTTTCTTTACCTAATGGCCTTAAAAGGGGAAATTCAATTTGCGAGCGGGAAAGATCAAGCGGCTATATAGCCTGCGAGCAAGCTCTCCATTTGGGGAAGTCGCGAGAAGTCACGCGAGAGCAGCACGCGAAAGGAAGTGTTCTCTCGTGACTCGCTTTGCTCATAAATGGAGAGGTTGCTAGCAGGCTTGAGGCTACAATACAAGTGACCTCTTATTTTCCTCTGAGTTAGAAGTGAGAGTGGCATACGCGAGCGTGCATAAAAACCACCACCCGGACCCTATTAAAGTAGAGGCGTCAAGCAGAGGGAATAGGATAAAATAAGAGAGACTATTTTTTCTCTTTCCTCTGCGTGGCCCCTGTCTTCGCGCCCTTTTTCGCTCGCCCTCTTACCACCGAGAGGAAATTAAGGGACCACTGGTAGCCCATGAAGCCACGAGCCATAAAGCCTTTTTGTACTAATCTGTATATTTGTCAAAAAGCTCACATGCTTATTGATGCGGGAGTTTAAAGAAAAGCACTGCTCGCATGCAGCCTAAATATTTAAGAGCACTGTAATCTTAACACCCTCCCTCCAGCTGAAGCCGATTTCTTTCTCCCTTGAATAGATCAATAAAACACCACAATTTCGATTTTCAGCGGAGACAGGTGTGAGTCGACAGCTGATGAAATGTTTAATTCTCGAGACATTCCCTTCTGTATACTAACATAACTTAATAAATACCTTGCACGAGATACACATGACCATGAAACTGAAGAAAAATGTGGCCAAACTCTGCCATGGATATTTCTAAAGCTGTGTCCCTGGAATAAAAAAAAACCATTTTCGGTCAATAACTTCTGCTGTTTTTCAGGTGAGGTATTATCAACATCATCGAAATGAAGAAAAAAGAGCAAATACGATTAAACTTGTTCGTAAGCAGTCGACCTTGGTCTTATCCGCACCAGCGCATTTTCGTTTGAAAACGCATACATTTTGATGCGTTTCGGCCTTCCGTCCACACTAATACGCTGAGCGATGAAAACGCTCTTGAAAGAGGATCAAAACAAAAACGCATAAATATCTTATTCAAGTGTGGACGGTAGAAAGCAATGGCCGTTTTCACACTACAGACGGATAATCCATCTTCAAAATCGGTCAACATTGTCGGGAAAACAGATGGATAAAGTCAGGCGGATTGTCCATCCAAAATTAAGACCGTTCCATTTTTAAATTAAGACTTTTTATCTGTCTGACGTGAATTATTCAACGGATAAACCTAGCGTCTCTATTGTGAATACGGCCATGGACCGAAAATATCGTAGGCGCGTGTGTTTGTAAAAATTAACATGCTTCATACCTTGTATTATGTCTGGAAACGACTTTGGTGAGTGTTTTGTGGAGGTTGGTTGAAGCAGCTGGGAATGGATTTTTAACAGCAATGCTAATAATACATGAAAAATAGTAAAAACAAAAACAAGAGGGAAAGCTCAATACAAAGTAATTTACACAAACCCAGCCGCCCTTAGAAATTTTGTCGAAAAACACCCTTTTAAGCTAGTCGATTGTTTTCTGGTCAATACCCGTTAAAAAAGAACCAAAACTGCCTAAATCGTTGTTCACAAGTCAGGCTCTAGGCTCTCTGTCTGTGACATGTCAAGCACTAAATTACAGCTTTCAAGGTTCAGGTATGTATAAAAGGCAAAATTTCGAATTTCTCTCCTCCCCGCTTCTTTCACTTTTCTTCCCCCGATTTTTCGTATGCTAGCCATTTACTAAACTTCATTTCAGTGTAAAAGGTTTTCGTGGAAGAACAACATTTCCAATGGAATTTTCTGGTCACCCTTACATCCTTTGTCTTACATTTTTCTCCGGCCTAGCTCGGTCGGTGGTAGAACGCTTGACTGCAAAGCGATGTGCTTCGGATCCGGTTCCAGGGAACGGACAAATACTTAATAAGTCTTATTATGACTGAAAAATGAAGGTACTGCCTTTTCCTCGCGCACGGCTAGACCATCGTGTGACTTGGATGAACCTGTAAAATGGCGGTCCCGTCTCCAGTAGGAGAGGTAGAAATAGTGTGGCGAGCAAGGATGGTGCAGTGCTTAGAGCATGCGCCTCCCACCAGTGTGGCCGAGTTCGAGTCCCGGGGTCAACGCCATATGCGGGATGAGTTTGTTGCTAGTTTTCGTGTGTACGCAAGTTACAATTTGTATTTTTTGCAATATGTTTTGCAATTTACAGTGCCCTTTATTATTATTTCAACACACCTTCTGCAATAGTAGTACACTGTTGCCAACTCATCCCCTTTTCCACTTGCTAAAATTGCCAACTGATTGTATGGCTGACCTGTTGTAAGGCAAACAGCATTGTGTTACTAATGATGACCCATCCATAGAAGGTTTTATGGTAGCCTGAAAGAAATCTCCCATTACATAGATATTGTGAAAAGTCACGCACGGGCGCAGAGACGCTAGATAGCTTTGCCGTTCGCTGGCATGTTCTCTCTCTTCGTTTGCTACTTGGAGTAGAGAGCTTGCTCACGGGCAACCTGTTTGGTTTTACCTCCTCTAGCCTACCAATCAAAAAATTCTCTTCATCAAAATAGTAGTGTTATGAACAATATCAGCGGAACACTCCCCCTGATGGAAATCCTAGTGACTTTTTATGTGTACAGTTATTCTGTAAGAATGTTTCAGTTCCCAATTAATAACAGAGGTGCCCACCCCCATAACTGTTTCCTTAAGTTAAGTATTATATACTGTTTTAATGGGGGTATAACAAATCTACTATAGACTCTTTTAAAATGATTCACAGGCTTCTGTCCATCTGTTTCCCAACACTGCATAAAAATTAATTATGGGAGAACAACAACAAAGTTTGTTCTGTTGCTGAACAGTGGTAACTTCTACTTGAGATACTCAATAAAACTGTGAAAGGTTTGAACTCAATAAAGTCGTTAATATAGTACTGTCAGATCTCACATGGTCTTCAATGTGTCAAGCATTTTTCATCTTAATTTCTTTGATATCAGGCTTAAGCAGGTCTATAATAGAAACGGTTACCATAAACCAGTGTTTGCCAAAGAGAACAAAACATTTTTCCCTCATGCATTCATACCATTTGAAGGAACTAAAACAAGGGCATGATGGTAAAACACTTCAGCTTGGTCCTGGTCATCACAATATCGAGCTACAATACAAAAAAATGTCATACTCAGTGCTCTTTCTCATTCTTAACTCGTTATAATCATCATGTCATCATCATCATCATCATCATTATCACAATCATCACCTTTACTAAGTCCCTAAAAGCTGCTTGAGGTGGTAAAATTGTTGTCAAAAAGAAAGCGAAAAAGAGCGCCACTTATACAGTGTTTTGGTGGGGTATTACTAAACTTCGTACATTTTTTCAAATTACTCATTAGAAACTATGGTATTATTAATTTTGCCACGTCTTACTTTAGAAAAGCAAAACATAATTTGATTAAATATGATTTTTACAATTAGATTAACTGAGAGAAAGTGCACCTATTTCCCACTACATAACAGTCTATATTGATAGCAAAATAAATAATTTATTAGACAGGTGTAGTGAGAGTTTACAAGGTTATCGTGGATAAGTTGTGGGGAGGAACCATCCTCAGGTTAAACCACCATGTTCCTTGTCTCCTGTGAATAATCAGAACCAGGAAACAAAAGAAATTCTGATTCAAACTTGGTTCAAAGCTAGATTAAACCTGGGAAAGGACAGTCATACAACGCATACTTCACTTAACTTGTGCCTGTGCAATATTATTGTATGTTCAATGGGTACCCTGTGAATGCGTGTGCAGTGATCAGCTGACCATGCCAGGATCCTTATTAAACTTCCCAGGTTCACAATTTTTACAGGGCTGTGCCACAAACAAATTCTGGTTACGATCATATTTTCAATTTGTAAACAATTATTGGATGAGATTTTTGTGATATCTGCAATGACCAAGGGTGAGGTAAGTGTTATTTCCCAAGGCTGTATGCCAAGTGTGATAACACCTACCAAGACATTGATTATTCCGGATACCACAAAACCAAATTTAATAATATTGTTTTATTATACATTGTTTCGAAGAAAATAACGACAAACATATACCATCACATGGAACACAGTTTACAATATTTTCCATAAAGAACAGACACGTTTCTTGGAAATCATGAACAAATCATGTGCACACAACCTACAGATTAGTTAGTTACAGAATCTGCCAGCAGATTTATGTAGGTTGCATGATAGAATTTCCAAAAATAAGTGTATAGGCTCTTAGCCAATGAGAAGACAGATAGTGAGTACAATGTATAACAATAATACTATAAATAATAGTGTACACTTTATAATAGGCTTACCAATATCCCCCAGGTGCACCAGACAGTCTTGGCAGATGTAATAACAAGATTGAGTGTGTGGCCTCTTGGCTAGATTGGTGTTGCCATTAATTTCTAAATATAGAACAACATTACAGATTGCTACTGTAAGTTTTGCTAATTTACATGTACATTACAGTTATGTACAATTTTTGCAGTGAGTGTTAACCTTTGCTGCCTACACATACAGTCAACTCCATTTATAGTGGACACTGTAGGGGCCTTGAGTTAGTGTCCTCTTTAGCAAGAGTCCATGACAGAGGAAGTTTATTTCACTCAAACATCCATAATTTATTTTCACCTGGGATTTACCTGAACATTATAAGTTATCGGGGTTATACCGTTATAGTGGGGAGTCTGCAAGGCAAGAGTTGACTGCACACTGTAGGATGTCCCAAAAAATATTATAAACACTTGTAACAGACGCTAAACAGTTATCAGTATGAGGTCTGCTACGTAGCTAGCTATGATAGTGACATGTTATTATGATCTACATAACACTGAGCATTCTGCTATTAAATTCCTTATACTGATACTGAATCAAGGTTTGCCTTCCATCTTTATTGAGTTAATGGCGTTCTTTTTTGTGTGACAATTTATCATCGCTGGGGTGGGGAGGGGGGTTACAGGGTTGTCACTAACATTTCAAGTTGGTGGGTAAATACAACCAGTAGGCGGGAATCAAACAGCTAGGAACTTCTTTTGGTTCTATTTTCCTTTTATTTTCCTTTTAAAGTAGCCAGGGAAGACGTTCATAGTAGCCGGGGGAAATCCCCGGCCACCGCCTCTTAGTGACAGCCCTGGGGTACCTGTACAAAGGCTTTCTGAGGATAATTTTATGTGCTGGCTAAGCTAGCCTTCAAATTAACGTTTACACCACCAGGTACCAACCTCATGCGGGTTGTCTACTCATTTGTCATTCCATACATAAACAAATTACAAACTACAAAAAAACATATTACAATTTTTTCAAGATGTTCAAAAGGTGGATAACGCTATTAGCTGAATCACTATCCACTGGATAGTGCAACTGGTCTCCCTAACACTTATCTGCTGGATAGTGATTTCTCCAGCAGATATCACTGAACAACTCGGGCCTAGTGTATGGTCTAGGTAAAAGAAATTTAATACTTCATACCTGAGTTAAAACTGTTTAGATTAGTCTTTTTGTACAGAATATCACCAACCTTCAAGAATGCCTAACTGTGAGGATCTCACATGACCAGGAATGTCTAGCCTGTATGTCAAACACAGCTCCTGCAAAAGCTAGTCAAGATAATAAAATACTTTTACCTACTAAAACCATAACAAGGTGAATATAAACTGACACACCTTCTATAAGTATTCTTTTAAGAGCCCTTATGTCTCCGACTGCCAAAATATTTCTTCTGGAGTGATCAACATGACCATGAATTGGTTTCTCCAAATTAATGCCACCTTCTTTTATATCAAACATTAACGTGTGGTTAGATGGTTTTCACTGATCAGTGCCATTTTTAAGTAAAAAGACCATCTGATAGAGAGGAAATAATTAGGAAACTGTGCAAAATTTCCAGAAAGACACACTATCTGGCAAAAAAGGCTTTTATACAGCAAATTATACACTTTCTCTAGTGTAGATTTGGCATAAAATGTTTAATGCCTATAAGATTCGCAACATCATTGAAAGCTTCAGTGGTTCGACACCTTTCCAAATTAAGTTACCTCAACCCATTAAGCCCCATTATAGTGACCAGCATCCAAATTCTCCCAAACAAGTTTTAAGGTCGGGCATGGTTTATTTCTGACCTGTCAAAATGTTGCAAACTAGCAAACCCCTAATTGGCATTCACAAAGTTGCAGAACAAGACGGTCTCATCTGTATTCTCCGAATTTATAACTGTCTTCTTAACCGGACATTGTCTGTTGTCCACCCATTATTGTGAGCCCTGTACTAGTCACCAAAGATGAAATATCTTGAAATGTTTGAGCAAATTCTCTCAAGTAGTAACATAAGAAATATATGAAGAACAGTGTGGAGAACATGAATTTTGATACTGGAGCTTAAAGGATTAAAATTAATATACCCTTGAATTAGCACTTATTTGTCTTTGTCCAGGTTATGTAACTTATGATATTTTAGGAGATTTTTCATTGATTATGCATCTAGATACAATGTGAGAAAAAATGTGAAATCACACCATTGTGTAATATCAGAGGTCCTCAGTAAAGATATGGTAATAAGGACAACTCCTCTTTGCAACAAAATCTGCAGTACATGTTGTGCATTTTCGAGACCAAAGTTAACTTGTGTTGCAGCAAGTGACATAAATTCCATGTATGGTGTGACACTCACATAATTTTATGCAGTCAAAAGTCAGTATTCACACAACTTGCAAAAACTTGATTTGCTGCAAGACACATTTGAATGTGGGTGTCAAAGTGCACAACATAGCTTTGCAACTTGTTTTGCAGTGTAAAACAAGTTGAAAGGTTTTCTTGCCTGTTTTACAGTAGCTTAAAGAGAAATGGAGCACATACCTGGATATAGAAACCACTGGCAGCCTCAAGAAACAAGGTCAAAATGGCTTGGACTTCCCCCTTTTTTGAGCCCTACCGGACAAGTTATATATTAAAGATATAACATTAATTTTATATTTAACAATTTATTAGTTTGCTGTATAACCCACCTTCTTAAACCCCATCTGGAAAAAAGGATACAAATCAAACTAAGTAGCAAATATTTTAATCATTTGGGCCTGAATAGAGCTTTTTCACATGCAAATGTTATTATATTCAAGCAAACATTACAAATATCAAAACCCATTTTTCTCTCAGTTTAGGACTAAAAATGTGCATAAGGCATATACCGTAAAGTTCCAAAAATAAGCCCCTTCAAATATAAGCCCCCCAAACCGGTAACGCAAAAAAACCCTCCGTTAAATCACCCCTCCAAATATAAGCCCCCGGGGGGCTTGTGCTTGGAAAATTGCCCTCAAATACAAAGTAAAACAATTTAAATACAAAGTAAAACAATTTTTACCTCCAACCATAGGGCTAGCCCAATCGATTTTGAAACACAAATTTCCCTCTGTAGATAAGCCCCTCCAAAAATAAGCCCCTCAAAAAGGGCCTTTGAAAAATATAAGCCCCGGGGCTTATTTTCGGAATTTTACGGTATATCAAACTGGGCAGCAAATTATAACCTGTTTCCTGACTACCTGAATGGGCAAAATCTAACCATTTCTCTCATAATTCAATTCACTCTTTCAAATTTACCAAGGGATTTTTGAGAATCCAAATTGTTAACCATTTAATCAGGAGTGTATAGCACAGTACATGTAAAACCTTTTATTGACTGTTCACCTTTCGCTCTTTGGCCTGCTGTCTTAGAAAATCCACTTGGCTTTTGAAAGCACTATTCCACCTGAAAAAAACACAGATAAAAAAGATTAATCCCCAATTGCAACATTTTCTTTGAATTAAGATTTAGGTTATCTACCAGTAGATAATATTTGTTTAGATATGCAATCTGAAACAAACATATATGTAGCCGTTTTTCCTTACACCATTATGTCATATTACCATTTATGGAAAGCGTAGGTCACGTGTTGTCAGAGATTAAACAGAGTTCTAGTTGTTGTTGAGATCGAGTTGGTGTGGTATGTTTTCGCCTATTTTCTAACCGCTACAAATCTGGTGGAGAACCTAAAATCCCGAAATGACCACCATAGAAGAATATTACAAGGCATCGTGGCAGGCCTTACGGCAATTGTCAAGCAGCAGGCGGAAGCACAGAAGGCAACAAACACTCAAATCGCTAACCTCACTGAAGCATTGCTCGCACATGGCGGACCTCCCACAGCTCCGGCTACAGCCCAAGTAAATTCCACGCCTTTACGAATGCCTGCTCTTCAACTCCCGCAATTTCGTTATGACCAGAACACTCACGACGACGTTAACGAATTCCTCGAATCTTTTGATGTTCAAACGACCCATTTGCAAGCTGCAACTAAGCTCACCTTGCTACAACAAGCATGCGTTGGCGAATGGCCAAATTCCATGTTGTCAATGGAAAAGACTAAGTTTACAGATGAAACAACTCCTCTCCAAAAGTTGGACAGTTTTAAACAAGCTTTAAAATCAACATTTGCCGAACCACCAGAAGTACAACGCCATCGTCTGGCGTCTGAGTTTTCTACGATGAAACAGCGAGTTACAGAATCGATCGATCGCTTCGCATTTCGCTTCAAAAACAACCTTCATCGCCTCGCTAAATTGGGCGAACCCGTAGACCGAAACTCGCCTCAGTTCATCATGTCACAGTTTATCTCCAAAACGAAACCAGACATTCAAAAACATTTGGTGCTTAAAGCAGAAGAATACAAAGATCTTTCTGAGATCATCGAAGCCGCAAAACGAATCGAGCATTCATTCAGTCCTTCGCACAGTCAACCCAATAAACAACCGCCGGAACAAACTAACGCTCTTGCCACTAATCCAGCTCCTGGTTTTCCTCGTGGTTGCGGCAAAGGACCCCGCTGTTATAACTGCAATTCCTATGGCCACACCAAAGGCAACTGCCCCGAAAAAACACAGAAAAACCACAATTCTACGAATCCTCAAAGAAGTAACGAAGTTTGCCGTTTATGGAACAAACATCAACGACCTCCCTGCGTTTTACCAGACCAATCATGTAGATATGGCCGTCTTCACAACTGTAACACTTGTTCCAAGCTAGGTTGCAAGGATATTAATCATGCAAACACTCGTCCACCTGTTGCAAACTCCTGCGAAGTTCAACCAGCACAGGCAACCCAACTGGGACCACGCACTTCTCAACCACCTTCCTCTGGTGTTCAGTCTCAGTCTTCCAACCCTCCGCTATTTCTGATGCCGACCTTACCACATTCTTCAAGTGAACTGTCTGTTAACCTGAATCATTCTATTTTGTCATGTCAAGTCACCTCAGCTGGTAAAGTCCTTCAGCTCCCACTTGATTCCTGTTGTTCTGTTACACTGTGTAGCCTGGATCATGCACAGCACATCCACTCCGCAAGACCTGAATTGAAGTACAAGAAACTTGAAAAGCCCATTCCAGTACAAATGGCTGACACTAGTGCCTCTCTGAATGCTGTTGGTGTCCAAGAAGTCCCAATTGCCTGGCTTCCAAACAAGGAGACTGTTCATGTCGCTCTTGTCGTGCCCAATATGTCTTGGTCACTCTTGTTTGGTGAAAATCACTTAGCAGCTACTCGCGCTTTGTCTGACCACAGAGAAAAAACTGTGACATTCCGTCACCCTGCTATGAATTTTACTATTTCATGTGATAAAGCACCTGTCTCACAGGAACCCCATGCTGCAGTTACCTGCCTTCTTACTGGAAAACCAAGTAGCCACTCTGCACCCACCAAGACCACCGTTTACCGCGGTCTAAACCTACTCACAGTTTATCTCACCTTCAGTGCAGCATCCATCGGGTTGCTAGGAAACGACTTATGGCTAACTGGTCATGAACTCGAACCTGGTGTCAGAGTCCTCGATGGCATCTTCAGTGCATCCGCAGTACGAACTGTCATGGACTTCCCTTCTGACACAGGCACCTCCGAGGGCGATCTTCCTGATTTTCAGCAACTCAGAGCTATGAATGTTCTTGTGCAATGTACAAAGAAGAGCGCTCATGTTGATCATTCCACCTTTGGTTATCTGTCACCTTGTACCGCTCAAAGCAAAGCTGATTTCCAGGATGCACTACACCACACAGCTGACATCCTTTCTTCATCACTTGATGCCTATGACTCGCTCTTCTGTCAGTCTCCTGTTGATGCATCTCCTCTCTTGAAGACCCCTTCACCTACCCGGTTTAGTAAAAGAGACCCAGTACAACCACACTGCCCTAAGCAGGCCAATCAGGAAATGATTACAGCCGGCCTTGTTCAAAGCTCCCGTTTACTTCATCCTTTCAATCAGCCTGATGACATGGATGATCGAGACGTTCCTCCTACTTCTGTTGTTGAACTTGATCCATTTTCAGAAGAATATCATCAGAAACTGCGAAAAGAGCTGCGCCTAGATACTGATGAATATAGTCACGTGCACCCTGCAGTCCTCAATCAGTTTGACACTTTACTTCGGAAGTACCCTCATGCATTTCTATTACCTGGTGCACCACTTAGGCGTATCCATGGAACTGAGCACCACATTAACACTGAGAATGCACCGCCTTGCTACAAGCCACCATACAGGATGTCACCGTCAGAACTTCAAGCAGTGCGTGATCAAATCACTGCCATGCTAAAACAGGACATTATTCGACCTTCTAAGTCTCCTTGGGGTGCTCCAGCAATTCTTGTCCGTCGTAAGGACTTACACGGCAAACCCCAGCCTCCTCGCTTTGTGGTCGATTATCGCGCACTTAACTCAGTCACCAAGAGTGATGGATTTCCACTTCCTCAAGTCATAGACATCCTCGACTGGCTTGGTGGTGGGAAATCCTTTGCAAAATTAGACCTCGCTAATGGTTATTGGCAAGTTCCCGTCAGAGAGAAAGACCGTGAAAAAACAGCCGTAGTCACCCACTGTGGATTGTTTGAGTTTATCTCCATGCCCTCGCTAGAGATTTCTATTGGAGAGGGATGGGGAAGGCAACGAGATTATTACGATTTGTCTGCTAACGTTAGAGAATTTTCTGTCGGACAGCAGGTCCTAGTCAGGAAACCACCTCCTTCAAACGTAGAAAAAGGATCAGCTACTAAACTCATCCGAAGATACGCCGGACCTTATATCGTCAGCGAGCGTTTGAAGAATAGTGATCTTTATCGTCTAAGACACGCATTACCAATGAAGAATTACCTCCTACTAACGTCGAGAAGCTGATACCAGTTCCAGAAGCCGAGCCTGGCGAACTAAGAGAGTCCTGCGCAAAAGGAACATCTCTTCCTGTTCAATCAAGGGAGAGAGAGGAACAATACAAACCTGGCCAATTCATTATATACCTTCCCAAGAGGAACAATCAAGCAGACGAGGGGATCTCACTCAAACTGGCCCAGTATCTTGAACCCCTAGGAAAGGCTCCAGTTAGCGAAGCTTGCAAGCATCTGTACTCTGTCTACCCAGCAGCCAAGCAAATTCTTGCCAAACTTGGAAGGATGCGCGGTCTCACAGCACATTGCCCATACTTATCCCTCGAAGGAGATCCCTCTGGAGGAGCTTATTATCTAGTCTTAGATCGAGCTGCGTATCGACGGTCTCACACCGATCAAGGGATCCTGGTTGGAGAAATTGTGGAAGCCGGTGAAGTCCAAGACACGGTTGTAGTTCACACCTATGCTCCTACTGGGCGTCGCACAAGACTTGCGAAATCTCGCATTTGGAAACCTGTCTACAACCATGATTTGTCAAGGAAATCTGTCCCTGTGGACAAGGACAAGCGCTTGATGGACTATAGCCCAGACTTTGATCACGTTGAGCTTAGGCAAATTATTACAGCGCGAGACACTCTGGAGCAATTGTTGTCTGTTAGAGACATGGACGAAGCAGTGACAAAGTTATTTGTTAGTGTTAGGTCGTTGCACGTTTAGAGACTAAACTACACTCGAACTTAATCGCGGTTTTAGATGCTCAAAATAAGTGTAATCTAGTTTTAGGACCTTAAGCTTTTGATTTTAATTGTACATTTCCTCGCTCCTGTTAGAAGGGAAGGAATGTAGCCGTTTTTCCTTACACCATTATGTCATATTACCATTTATGGAAAGCATAGGTCACGTGTTGGGAGAGATTAAACAGAGTTCTAGTTGTTGTTGAGATCGAGTTGGCGTGGTATGTTTTCGCCTATTTTCTAACCGCTACATATATGGGGGGGGGGGGGGAGGGTCAACAATTTAATATTAAAAAAAAAAGGTTTAAAGGTTGGGTTTTTTTTAAAGGAATTAAAGGCAAGGATAAATTAAAGAGACAAGGGATAAATAAATTACAACATGTACATTAAGCACCTAACTTTTGTAATATCATTTTAAAACAGTAATGAAAAAAAACTCACAGGTCTTGTTCAACCTTCTGGTCCAATGCAGACTCTAGGTCTGTTAAAAGGATGCTCTTGTACAAGTCTTGTAATCTGAAATTGAAAAAATTTAATTCATTGCATGAATTTACAAAAAACCTGAATATTTCAAACTTTCCTTTTGGACAAGTAGCTTCAACATTTGCTTGCCCAAGATACATGTATACACGGGCATAGCTACATCCCTGGTACGCTGTAGTTTTGTGCTTGTCTCAATGTATGATTTACTAGAAGATGACCTGGGTGGACCATTGCCCAGCGGGCCAATGAGTCTGAAACGTAATCTTCGATCAGGGGTCCTTCTTCCTTTTTTGTTTGGGAGACAAGAGGAAAAGGACACCTGATACATTTACTATTTATACCTCGCTTACCTGTAGTCCAGAATCTGGACTTTTGTCTGATTGGTCAAAAAACTAAAGACCCTTTCTGAACCACGTACTGATTGGCTACAAACAACATATCTGACTCCTGCTGCAATTAGATAGGTTTTGTCACCTTTGTCTCTTCAAGACAGAAACTATGAGATGATCGAGGAATTTTTTTAACGGCAAGCTTTAAAGCTTATGCTAAAAAAAAATAATATATTTTTAAAAAATCAAGTCAACAGAGCACAGAGAAATGCCGCTCTCCTGGAAAATAAATAACTCAGAAACCCAGGAAAAGGGCACTTTAGGAGTTAAAATCCAAAAAATTCCCAATGAAGCATGCCCCTGGACCTCCGTATAGGCCTACACCTTTGGTGCTAATTGAGGAAATTGGCTTCTCTCAGTATTTATCCTAGATTTGAGCCTGTATTGGTCACACTCCATACAACATATAGCTGATTCAATAAAGGTTGCTTTAATAGCCTTTGGGAATTGGTAATTGGCCATTGGGCATTTGTACATACGGCACTCAATGCACATGATTTGCTTGAGCGACTACTGAACAATGGCTTTCCAATGCCCAATTCCCAATGCCCGAAGAATCCTTTGTTGAATAAGCTATACACAGGGATGTCAGAAAGTTTTGAAGTAGACGGCTGAGTTGTCAAAGTAAACGGCCAGTCCAGGGATATTTTATTTAAAAAACAACACCCGTAAAGAAATGCCAAGAAGAGTAGCCGGCCGATACTAACCAAGTAGGAGGCAATTTTCACTGCCAGCCGGCTACTTTTGACAACCCTGCTATACATTGTGCACCAATGCTAACATTGTTATTCGACAAAAAGTAAATAGCTCTCACCTTTGTCTTGATTGCCATCCTTCACTACCAACAGTAAAATCATTAACATTACCTAGGAGGAACATTAAAGACAACAGAATGATTTTAATAAACCTGGCCACCCACTTATTGACATTTTGATCACTAAACTTTTCGTAAAATCAGGCACATAAGACAAAACCATACCAAGAACCAAAAAAAAGAAAAAATGGGCTAAATTCCAAACTAAAGTACATAAAAGCTCAAAAGTCTATATTATCCAGGAGATTCAGGGACCCATATACAGTAAAATGGGAGATTGGTTCAGTATCCAGGATACTTCCAGAAAATCTGGCAGAGTTGTTCATGTATATGTATTAGGCTTTTGTACATTATGCTTTTGCTTCCCCACTAAAATGCTCCACCTTAATGCTCCATTTTTCCCACTAAAATGCTCGGTCTCCCCAAAAAAAGTCACTAAAATGCTTGGATAATGCCCATAAAACAAACGGTTTTTTAAATTAATTTCAAAGTTTACACTTTAATACAAAAACGTGCAAGTGCTGCAAGTAACAACGAAAATGTGTACCAGTTCATAAATACAGCCAAAAAAACAGCTGTATTAGGTTTTTTGTGAATTTTGAGTTTTAGTCTTCATTTTCTTTAAAAACGCAGGAGCTTGTGGGGCATGGGCTCCTGAAAGAAGTTAATTTCTATTTTATTTTCTCGGAAAAATTAATTTTCCAGGGAAAATGCCACTAAAATGCTCGAATAATGCTCAATGCTTTTGCCTCACTAAAATGCTCGAAAAAATGCTAGCATAATGTACAAAAGCCTAATATGTATTCCTTGTTCTTAAAATGTGCCTGGAAAGCTGGTTCCAGCACTCTGTACTTTGGTTACAGCTTTCACAGGGTATATCATGAACATAATTTCCAGGGCATCAACAAATTGTTGATAACTCAGCCCCTGTTACAGGTGTACTTGCTGAATCACAGTTCATTAGGGATCCAAGGGTTATCAGGGTGGCAACGGGGGGCATCTATCAAGCATAGGGGAAAAAAATTAGCCATCACCCATCATATTAATGAGGTGCACTTGCAGTGAGTTTACATGGCAGTATCTTAACCCATTGAATTAATCAGCTCTAATAAATTGTTTTCAACATCCTTTTTGGGTAGGATCGCATGTTAACAATTAATTATGGGTTCTCTGAAATCATGTGTTATTCAAACATTAACCATATTAATCAGTACTTACTGATCTGAGAACAGAGGTCATAAATACAATTTTGACAGAAGATTAGAGATCAAGGAACAAGAAGAAAGACCAGAAAATGATGTCATGAATATCTGTGTTAGATGTCTGTGGTTCTAGTTTCAAATGATATTCACCAAACACAGATATCTAAAAGGAAAAGGACATGTCGCGTTGTGAAAATAGTAAATCACACACCACCCAGCTATGCCCAATCACGCCTCACACGGCTAATCTCCACGCGATCACACATCATGCATGCTAATAATTTGGGACCCATCACACATCACAGAAAACCCCAGTTACTTGTTGGTGTATCAGGTCATTTCACCCAAAGGACGGTTCACCCAACAGCAGTTTGCCCAGACTAAGTCAATTCACCCAAAGGGCATTTGTCATTATTTAAGCCTGAAAAAAGGGAATAACCATGGAAAGACAGTGACTGCATATGTGGAATCCAAGGGTAACTAAAATAACCTCTTGAAAGGTATGTTCACCATGTTGTAGAGTGTTGCGTATCATAGGGTGAATAGACTGATGTCCTGGCAAACACCGTTGGGCGAATCATCTTCAGGCGAAACGACCACAACTCCCCCTACGCCACCCTGGGTTACGGGGGTTGATCTCATCCAGGTTTTCTCAAGGCTGCAAAAACTGAAGATGTAGGAGAGTCGACACTTTGGAGGAAACTTGAGCTGACACAAATTTGTACCAAAGATTAACTAGAAGTAAAACTGATGTTATTTCTTTAGCTGCATTTTTGTATCACCAGGTCCTGGTTGTCCAAAAGTTGGATAGCGCTATCCACCGGATAAACCACTATCCGATTGATAAGTATTACGAAAACTAATTGCGTTATCCACGGATAGTAATTTATCCAGTGGATAGCGCTATCCACCTTTAGAACAACTGGGCCCAGGTCTATAATAGATAGTCACAGACAACAAATCAAACGGTTATCTCATCACTGAAGTTTGAAGATCTATGTGCCAGAAACATGGTTCAGAAGCAACTGAGTGTTTTGGTTTCCCGTTTATAGCAAAAGGGTGCACTTAAATGTCACATCCTATTTTTTGAAGGTGAGAAGTAGACGCATAGAAACAAAATAAAGCAGATTATTAATATTAACCGGTTATACAAGATTGTAAGGTTAGCGTTGCATAAATTTACAGCGCCAGAGTTTAAGATCTTTTCAATGCCATCAAAAAACGGCTTCAACCAAAAGAAACAAGCAGTTAAGATACCGTGGCCTTATTTTACGTTTCTTAAAAAAGGCAAAACAGAATATAACATACAAGAAACAACTAAGCTTAAATTTGTACTATTGACTTAAACAAACAACTTACTCTTTAAAGCGGCTTTCAACGTTTCTGCTTGCCTGTTGAATATATTTACAATAGAAAAGGATCAAACATAAATAAAAATTCTTTGAAAATATAACAACTTAAATAATGCGAACGTAAAGTGAAAGATTTTTACCGTAAAACTTGCGGCACCGACCCAAGGATCGGCGCCATGTTAGTTCATCGTTCCGCTGTACAGAGTCATTTCACTGCGGGCACAATAACACCAAACACCTGTCACTTTCCCAGGCTGCAACGCCTGGAGCTTGGCTTTGCTTAGACCTTGGATGAATTTAGTGACGAGGGGGGCGAGGGTTTTCAGAAAAGTAATTACATATGGAAAATGTAACCCCCCCCCCGCCCTTGGCAATAACAATTTTTAATATGCACAAGGTTTGTCGTCTTCTTTCCTCTCCAATCCTGTTGCGTAAGAAGTTCACTAATTTAAAGCCTTATTCACAGTCTTGTTCCAGAAGCTCTGTTTGCTTTGGGTTTTGGGAAGGGTCCTGTGACAAGGATTTCTTGTTCAACAACGTTCAACCACCACCGTCCTACTGTCAAACCTTCCTACAAGTTGCCGCTACCCGTTTCCTACGCCTGGTCAAGCCCTTGGGATATGTAGACACACTGAATTCTGCAAAGCTGATCGTACTACGTGAAAATTAACTACGCGAGACATCAACACGACACCGAAAACAACAAAAACAGAGCTGAGTCGTAGGACCCCGCTCTGTTTTTGTTTTTTTCGGTGTCGTGTTGATGTCTTGCGTAGTTAATTTTCACGTAGTACGATTCAATGTGTCTACTCAGGGTATATTTTTGCTGCTCAGGTCTTTTATAGATCCTAAGATTTGCGGCATATTCGTTTTCGGTCCTTTGCATTTTAAATGTCAATTTATTACTTGGGATATGTGAATTTCACCAAAGTTATTTTAGACAAATCAACGCTTGAAACTAATCAGAAGTTGGTTTCTGGAGAGGTCCGCAAACTTTCATTCATTATTGTCAAGAGAAAATAAGGGGACATTATGCTCTCTTGGCTTGTCACCATTACAACATTCTGCATCGTTTACTTTAACGCAGTCGCCTGTGGACATGATGACATTTTAAACAATCGATTTAAATGTGCGGACGCCTCAGGGATTAAACTTCCGCCTGGTCACGACCTCTAAAAATAACTTCAGTGAAATTCACATATAAATAAATAAGTAAAATCAATTAATTCCGTTATTTAACTTCGGCAGTATTTATAGCACTAATGCTAGCGGGGACGAGCAAATGACAGAAACAAATAATTTAAATCAAGCTTAACAGGGTTAAGAATCCAAACTGGCCGGAGGCAAACCAGCTGGCTGTGGCCGAGGATTTGAACTCAGAATCACCGAGAGCAAATCCAGCTAGCGGTCAGAGTGGGACTTTGAACTCGGGGCTTCCGAATTACAAGTCCAGAGCTCTAACCACTTGGCCACGCTGCCTCGCAATATCCTGGCCAACGCCCTAAGATGCCCTCTCTGTTCTATTCCCTCCTGTCGCAGTCTAAACCTCCGTCGCAGTCTTATCCTCAAAGTGGCCTGTATGGAGGGTTCCCTCTGTTTTTACTCAGGGATCTAACTTTTGGCAATAACGGGTAATGGCGTGAACACTCAACAAACAATGGGCTGAAATGTTGATTTATACAGTGCTTTATTTCAAATCACCAACGAAAACTTACAAAAATGAATAAATAGGCAGTATCCTTTATTTAGCTATGTGATATATTAAAATGAAATAAAATAAAATAAAAATTAGTCTTATTCTGTGAGACACAAAACCGGAAAGAAATGCCTTATTTCTGAGTAACCTTTGGAAAAGTAAAGACAAGTCTTACCAAGAAATGCCTCAGTGGTCTTCCATGAAAAGAGGTATACTATTTAACGTATCAAAGTTCAGGTTCCAACAAAAGTGATATAAAGTGACTGAAAGTCCAATAGATCGTTTTGAAGAAAAACTCCTTTTGGCGGGCAATAAAGTTTATAATCTCAGAAATTTTTAGTATATTGAAACGAAAATTTTTTGTACGAGTCTAAAGCAGGGAGATTGAAATATTCAAATACAATACACACAAAATTATGATAATACATAGGTTGTCTATGATAATACATAGGTTGTCTCTTAAGTCCTTATAAAAACTTAAAGAAAATGCCCCCATGTAGAGGTAATATTACTTTAAAAATCTAGTTATGGCTAATATTAGCTCTCTTCCTGAGACTGCGATGAACAACGCAATTGTTCGCATTGTAAAAACAATTTCTAATTCAGTAAAAACTGAGACAGCAAATTAGCAATTATCATATGGAAGAGAAAAGCGTTTTTCACTGCAGTTTTCTCAACGAAGAATACAATATTCGGATATAACAAAAAATTGTTAATGTGAAGACTCTCGTTGCACAGCGTTAACCGACTGCCTCGTGGCAAATAGAGGGAAATCAATCGAAAAACAGCCAGTGGGTATATAGGCATAATATATACCCCATCAAAGATTTATAGGTTTGCTAGGAAAGTTGAAAACTGTAAAGGTATTCAATAAAGTGCCCGGTGTTAAGTGAATAATGATATAAATTACTGATTAAGGGCTGCTTACTTGAGAAAGATTCAGAGTTTTGTTTGTTCAAAAAAGACCATCCTGTCAAAATTACCCCCTTTTGTTGATTCTTTTTATTTTTAACACAACAACTGATGAAATGATAATTAAAACAACAAATGTGAATCAAATTATCGATATTGAGAAAATTTAGAAAGCTTATTTAAATAGCAGCTAAAAGGTACGATAAAAAAAAGTAATCTGTAAAAACGCATTGTTTTGTTGTCTGCAATATGCATTAAAGTCAGTTTGTTCATATACTTTGTATAGAAATGATCGAAAAGCAAAACGCTTTTTACTTAATATATAAATTTCCAAAACATTGAAATTCTATTATCTAAATAAACCCAGCCCGAAATAATAAAACAAACAAATTTTAGACAAAAATCAGTGAACACTCTCAAAGTTATGATATAAATTTGTTGCTTTTTGTTGCTTTCTTTTTTTCCTAGGTTTTGTCTTTTTATGGCTACGAATAACTGTGGATAATCACATCCAACGTAATTCAAACGTTACTTTCTAAAAACTCTACTCAACGAGTTTTTTTGCTCGAAACTTTTAACCTGAGGAACCGTTTACACGCTTTGATTCTCACGCGATTTGTTGTGCTGCACAGAGAGTTTTGCTCGGTATTTATATTGCGATCAAACAATGGACAAAGGAAGGAGATGTCGATTTCAGCGCCATTTCTCACGACCAGGTTGCTGAAAATTTGGTGAATGATAAAAATTAACCCCAACTGAGCTTCACTACGGCAATTTTTGCATAAAATTACGCAATTCTGTCCGTCATATCTGTCCATAAGAGATGTACGTATGCTTCTGGTCTAAAAAACTTCTAAAAACTTCTACTTTGCATAAAATTGCAGAGCTTAGTCTGCACCACAGACGAATCTAGACTCTGGTTAATTCTGGCTGCGGAACAGCACAGAGGCCTGTTCTGAGTCCCCACCTGTGTACCCGGATTTGAGTACGTGCCATGATTGGCCTGTTAAAAAAGCCATTGTCCCTCTGCCACTCCGGTAAAGCACTTCCAGTAATTCGTTGAATCCCTTGGGGCCCAGAACAAGGATGTCGGCACTGCTTCACGGACGTTACTAACCGAGGTTAAATTACGTCTGCCACGCAGGCTAATCGCGCTAAAATTGCAACGAAATCGCCGCTCTTGTCGCGCGACAAAATCCGAAAAAAAATCGCAAGTGTAAACGGTCCTAAAGAGTTAAGAGTTGAGATTGATTATAGTTATCGTAGTTTTGGTTCAACCGAAAGTTAACATGTTCATGTAGAAGTCCTTAACTCCTCGTCAGCACCACTTTCTCCAGTTCTGTCGTCATCATCATCATCATCTTCGTCATCCTTCCCACCTTTGTTGTGTAAATTTTCAATGGCATTTGGGTCCTTACAGTCACAAGCTGACATGCAAGTTGTCGGTACTCGCCGCACAATCCTGTTCCTTGTAGTAGAAGCACAGCAATCTCCGCCATCCCATCGGCAGTGCTTGTTATTGTTATCCTTGTCACACCACTCATCTTCAATGTAATCTAACCGACAACTAGGAATACACCTCAAACGAGCGGGATCTGGTTTCCACTGGGACTTCTTCGTGCATGTGATAATCGCGAGAGTCTTCTCCTCGTCTCCCTGTAACACATTTAATTAATCAATGAACTTAACTTTTTCTAGCGCTGGTGGATGCAACAGTTAGATCCCTCTGAATACCTTGTTGGATGGTGTTGAATGTTGTTGAATAGACTACGAACAGTCTCCCTTTTTCCCTAGTCCGTCGAGCGAGACGGAAGAGGTGCCCTCGTTTCCCTCGTCTCTCGGCCTCGTCGCTCGACACTCGACCCTAGCGCGCGCGCCTGCACCCCCTCTCTAGATCTGAAGAACAAGAGAGACTACTCGTAGCCTAGTTGTTGAATGATGTTTGATTCAGGTTAAACATTTTATAGTTCTAATATGTGAAAGTACACTCACTGAGGTTTCATTTAGCTTGCTCGGCGAACTTGAAAAGCTGAGGGTGAGTGGAGGAGAGCGCTCAATCTCCTCACGTTTTCCCTTCCTCGCGTTTCCCCACGACACCCGCCACGAAGGCTAGGGCTCATTTGAATGGTCTCACCATAAGGCTTCGTCCACAGATTCAAAAGTTAGAGCCACTTTACAAAATTCCATCCTTCAATTTTAGGGTGAAACGGTTAATGAGTCTAAAAAATTTTTTACGCCCGTTCGACAATGTCCAGCACCACTAAAAAGTGTTGGAAGACGCTAGACCAGCCAGGAGTGAACCCTTAGGATTCTTTTTAGTGCGGACATGATTGAGTTTCCCACATCCACCCTGACGCCTCACCAGTTCTCAGATATTGTTTTCACACCCGACTTCATTATTTTATTAATTGTTTTAATCAGAATGACGAAGTTATATGTGAATGGACCAAGGGCAACTGGGACGTAAACGTTTCACTCGGGTGTGAATACAAGGGGGCCCAGAGAGGCCTGATTCAAGTAGAGCAATCAATGGTGTGGCTAAAAACCTTCCTCCGCGCGAAAGACGTGAGCGCGAGTCCAATAAGGCGACGCGCGGGAAACAAATCCTCACCGCAACATACTGCGACAGAAAACCGCGGGAAAACGCTCGTCTCATTCTGTGTGTAACCATAATAACAACCCACCTCCTCAACGACGTCATGAAAGCTATCTTTGCATTGAACTTTACAAATCCCTCCAGGAAAGTGATCTTCACAGGTAATGATAACCCCTGGGGGAGGTACAGGAACGGGACAGACTCCAGCTAAACGTGATTTACACCTCCTCATTGGCTCGCTCCAATGTCCCTTGTCCTCGCACTTCACAGTGTGGACCTGATAAAGAGAGGCAAATGATAACGGGGAATATATTGATGTAAGAATTGCTTTGTGATTAGATAATATGTTCACACTAGGAACCAGCCTTGCATGTGTGCCATGAGGTTGGTGGTACTTTTCGGCTTAAATTATCTGGGACCGATTTATAAGCCGATTTGGGCCTCCCTTTAAAGCGGAGAAGAACGAGCCTAAAAGTCATTGCGCGTCAAGAGATGACCGCCGTTAAATCGTAGAATATAGGCCGGCCTAAGGCAAAATCTAAGGCGAATATTACACTTGAGGAGGCAAATGTAGTTGTAAGCGCTACTACCCGTTCCAACCTCTACTCATTACACGGTTAAAGTATAGTATTTTTTAAAGATCTACACTTTTGTTCTCACTAAGAAACTTTTCATCGTATTTGTTATACCATACACTATTTTCTCCCATTATTTTTACTTAACCTTGCTTGTTTTCTTTTCTTTTTATTTATTGTCTTATCTTTCCCTTTAATTGAGCTTTGTACTATTATTGCATTACCATCCCACCCAGAAGAGCCACCTGACGGTAATTATGGTTAAGGTAATTTTCAAGGGTTGAAAATGCTGTTGTTGTAGTTGACTTGGAATTTTGAGACTGGAGATTTTCCTCATACTAAGGACAATGTCTGATCAAAACAAGTTTAACGGTATTATTATACATTGACACACTACCTGTCTTACCCATTGGCTAAGAGCCTACCGTTGCCGGATTTTCGAAATTGGCGCAACCGACAGTTTAGTTAGTTATTTGCCAGCAGAAAACTGACTAATCCGTAGGTTGCGCGTGCAATGCATGATTTTTAAGAGCAATGTTAAACTGAGTTCTATGCGACGGCTTGTTTGTGGTTATTTTCTTCAAAACAATGTATAACAGAACAGTTATTAGATTCGATTTTGTGATATCCGGAATTTTCAAGGTCTCGATAAGTGTCATCGACCTTGATTATTTCGGATATCACAAAAACCTCATCCACTAACTGCCGTGTAAAACATACAGGCCAAAAACATATATAAACTCACCCCCTCTCCTAGACAATGGCTCGAACAAACGCTTCCCAGGGCATTTCCATTCGAACAGTTATACCACATAAGGAGGCTGGCAGAAATTTTCTCGCAGACGATCGGCTCGCACGAAGGGTGAGTCCATTGACCACTTTTTGTACAACGCACCTTCAAGGCTCTTCGGGCCGGCCCGTCTCGATCCTTCGGGCGGTAGCCTGGTTTGCATCGGAACTTACAAGAATAACCGGGTAAAATTGTTCCTTTGCTGGTAAAGCAGCTGCTTCCTGTGAGCGGTTCACCGTTCTTTGGAATGACGGGTTTGGAGCAAGTCATAACACAAAAAGCTGTTTGCGCCGACCATTTGCCATCCGCCTCACATGTTACGCTAGCTTCGTTCCCACTAAGTTTGGCCTGTGGCGAGCACTTGAAAGAGCACTTTTTACCGAACGTGTGTCCGTCTGGGCAATCTGAAAATAAGAAAGCAGTTATTAGTCACAAAATAGGAAAACGGTTAACGATAGAAAGCCCTATAAAGTAGTATACAACTGAACAACGTCAGAACAAGATCCCCATGATGAAGGTAAATTGAACTGCTGCCCCGTCATGGTACCAATTGTTTGTGTCTGAAATGACCAGCCCGTCTCCTCAAAAGTCAAATGATCGTCCCCATTGCACAAGGACGGGACAAGCAAAGCCTTTTGGGTAATGCGTCCGCCATTTTGTCTTGACTCGCCACCGAAAACTTGACTGGTTCTCCCACAGGCAGCCTAATAATAATATTGGCCAAACATTTCGAAGGAGTAAGTTCGATTTTTGTGGATCTAGGTTGGTAAGATCTCAAAAGGTCTTCGCTTCTCCGCGTCTAAAATAATTTAGTCTACGGCTCGTGGTTCACCATGTTCAATGAAGTGCTATGGATATGAAGACTATCAGACTTATCTGTTCTATGTTATTATTAGCTTTACACTTGACTATGTACAACGTCTAAATATCGTAGCATCGCTATGATTGACTAATAGGAACGCCGCTTTAATTTATTCAGTCATAATGTGTGAACATAAATCAAAAGATTGTGCGAACATAGTTATTAGAGGAGACTGGTTATGAAAAGCGGCAAACATCAATGATAAAAACAACAGTGCTGCAGTTTATGTTCAACGCACCGTGAAAGTGCAAAATCCTTTGTTTTCTGTTGGCAAATTGTTACGGAATAAATTAATGCAACGTTTTTATTGGTGCACTTTCAGGTCCACAAAAACATATAACAAAGGAGTCTGACGGGTTTCATAACCATTCCACTCAATTAACTATGGTGCGAAGAAGGAGAGCTATCTTAACATAAAATGCGGCAACTTTTTTTTTTCTCTCATTTTAACTGATTTTTGCCGGCTTTCATGACCAGTCTCTTCAACTAACTGTGGTTCTACTAACGTGAGCATTTTGACGTGAATTATACTGTCTGTTAGTGTAAAAACAATGGAATTTTTTGTCTATTTGTTACATATACAAAGGCTATCAACGTACCAGTTTGTCACTTAAAAACGAGAAATTGACTTTTGGAAAGACTTCTGGGACTGTTACTAAGGACAGGGAAAAAATTCACCAGTAACAATCCCATAAACAATTGCGGGACACATTTCGGCTCTAGTTCCCTTTTCGTTTCTAATTTAAAAGTGGCGAATATATGCGCGAGCAAACAATCGGTCCACCTTTAGATTCTAGGGCGAGAACGACTACGATTACGAGATTTAATTTTAAGTTTTTTTTTCGCGTATTCTCATTTTACATCTTTTTCACCCCCAAAAAAATTAGCGCCGTTATCGTGATTGAAGGAGGTTAAGCTTTCTCCCAGCCGCTAACACGACATTCTCGCTAAAACTCGTAGTAGAATGACGACGACTATCACGTTTTCCCGCCAAAATGACGCTGGTTCACGCGCGCGCCCTACTTAGTCTCGTACTTGTAGTCGTACTCGTCTTAGAATCTAAAAGGTCTCTACTGTAAAATATACAATTAGCAGTTCAGCTGTACTAACCAGCTTGGCCATTTGGAATCCTGGGAACACCGCAATTAATAGGAACACAACCTGAACTGATTCCTTGCCACTCTTTGTTCAAGCAAACCATCTTGAAGGGCTTTGACGGTCGGTATCCAGTCTTGCAAGTAACAGAACACGTCTGCCCCTCTTTCGTTCCCTCGCATTTGACCGTCGCGTGTTTTAAAACCAGTTCGTGGCAAGATGGCCTCTCGCACAGGTAATTGTGGCAATGCTGAGTGCGCGGACTAAAAATTTCCTCCGGACCGCATTTGGACAGTTCAACAACATCGAAGTTAGTTCTTGAACGCAGAGCTACGCCAGCTATGGCGATAAGGTGAGACTTAAAGCTAACGCGAACTTTGCGCACGTAGAAAAATGGCTCTGTCATATCGTGATGGACTGGAATAACAGCCGGGTTAACCTTGCAAGAAAGTTTAGTTTCATCGCCTCCTGAAGAGTGGACACGTCCAGCATTGTCGATGAGCTCTACTTTTATAGTTCTCTCAAGACTATATTCAGTCCGTCCATCGGAGCCGATATACAGGACAAGTGCGGCAGGTACAACAGAGCGATTAAATGTGGCTTCCAACCAATAATTGCCACTCACGAATGATCTAGTGCAGGGACGCCATGCATAGGCATTATTAATAAACTTCTCTCCCGACTGACAAACCTGTGAAAGGGTAATAAAAACATGCTATTAACTAGGGTCGGGAAGTTTTTAATTTAACTTGTTCTATATACTGCTGCCCCTCATAGCCCCCCACCCTCCTACCCCACTTACAAGCCCCCCTCAGTCATACGTCCATCTACCTGTAAATAAAAAATACATCAAATTATAAGCTCCCCCCGGATATAAGCCTAATCATGTAGTGTAGCCATATGCGCAACTAAATCAAGTTCCAAGGTTCCTAAACCAAGTTCCTTATTTCCTCAGCGATACAAAAGCCAGCAAAATATGCGAGCGCACGTGAGCGGACGCTGATTTCGCGCGCGCTCTACTATCTTTGAAGAAAAAAGGGAGCAATTGTAGACTAAAGCAAAAAAATATAGTAAAAATAAAAAAAATTGTGAAATAAACCACTCTTGACACTCAAAAAGGACATTGGAGTACTCTATAGTCACACAACTCCTTTGTTGGAAAATCTCGTGCATATAAAGTATTCAACGATTCAATTTGACCTTGTGGGGAAAGGACTCTCTGCCAGATTAGTCACCAAAATATGTTTTATACAAAAAGTGGACCGCTCTCCCTTCCTTTTGCTCTTTCGCGCTACCACCTTTCCGTCAGTTTTCCTGGAATCCTGTGGTTCTTGGATAGTCGTTAACTTAATATTACGAAGAAATAATCATGAAGGGGAAGTACGGTAACCTCGAATGGGCATAAGAACTCTCCACAGTCAAAATTGACTGTCCTTTGATGCTAGAGAGATTAAGATTCACGTTTACGCCAAACAGCAAACGTGAATTTGTGTCAGGTGATCAAGTTTTCCCCTTAACTGGTGTTTACTGTTTATTACTTCCACCCAAAAATAAGTCCTTTCACGCCAGTTTTATGCATAAGAATTGTTCTGGACATTTATCGGATTATTTTCTATCCTGACAAATTCTTAACTTGAATCTGAGGTTTGTCGTTTGCCGTAAACGTAACAATCCATATTTACCCCCATTTGTAACTGCTTTGGAGAACTGTTTCCCCACTCTTAACACCAACCCGCCTCTCTCAAACCAAAACTACCTTGATAAATAAGCCATTTCCGAGTTTCCTGACGCCGCTGTTTCAAAGGGAACGCAAAGGATTTTTTAACTCTCTTGCAAATAAAACTCACTTGCAATTTGAACTTAGCCTATTTTTGAAAGAAAGCGTTTTTGGAACTCGAACACGGCTTAATAATTCGAAGCGAAGCCATGAGAGGTATTCGTCACAGACATACACATTTCACATAACGCGCCTAACTGCAGCCTATACTTTTTCATAAGCATTGTCTTGAATTTCTCTTGGGACGACTATAATACCTAAGAGAAAATGAAAACAAAGGTTATGAAAATTTTGCAGGGCAAACAAGCTGTTTCATGGGTAATGCGCGAGTGGCGAATGGTAAGATGGGAAAGATTAGGGTTGGGGATAGCTATCAACGTGTAAGGTAGTTACGTTACCAGATCTAAGGGAGGAGGTCCAAGGGTCACGTTTTCTGGGCATGTTTCGTCTCGGTCGCGAGGGTTGACACTAACGTTCACAGCCCACTGGTCTTCAAATCCCTCTGGCGTATAAAAACCACAGTCTTTGATGCTAGTTTTTCTCTCAAAGTCTTCGCAGATTCCATCTCCATCATGGCGATAACACAGACTTGGATGGCCTGTGAAGCAATTGAAATAATCATTATTGTAGACTAAGTTAGCTTGAGATAAATATTAGGCGTTGCCGAGAGGGCATGGAAACAATAACAACCCCCCAAACTACAAATAAAGTTAATCCGCAGAGGATAGGATCCGCCAAGGATTTCATTCTCTCCGCTTCCTCATGATCCGAGCGTAATCTCTTCACAGACAGGGATACCTCTTGCTTCCTTTGGTTTTCCAATCCCCATTCTTAATTAGTAAATACCAAGCCTTCTTCACCTCACCCCACCTCCCCCTTCAAAAATATTTTGCTCAATACAACTCATGTGAGAGTGCTTTGTGCTTTCCATGGGAGGGGAGAAGGGGATGTGCACTTGAGAAGGGCCAGCTGAGTCTAACTTTTGCCTACCCTATAATACAATAGTTTTGAAAAAAAAAAATATTCGAAGTGAGATATATGATCAGCAAAAGTAAATCCCATTACACAGCTAAGAAGGAAGAATTTATTCGCAAATTTTATACTGTCTGTCTTTTTCGTTTAAAATAGCATCAGATGAAAGTTGGCAAAATTAAAATATGTTTGTTCTTCAGTGGAGTTCATCTTATCCATGACCTCTCAAGGGTTAAGTGAATGAGATTAACTTTTCATCGGATTATCGAACTTAGGATTCTGCACGAATTTTGTACGTGTTGGCGCGTGTGCAATAACAAAAATAATCCGATAGATCAGCTAACCTTGCTTTTTAGGCACAGGGAAATTCCCGACGAAAGATCAGACTTGAACAAAACCACTTAGGCGGCAAATCTTTGAAAAAATGTATTCTCGAAGTTGGAGGGCTTTTGTTCAAATTCGCATGCCAATTTTTGTTTTCAGGAAACTTAACTAGCTTGAAACAGTTGAAAACAGTATGATCAGATACGAAAGTTTGTTTGGATAACTTGTGTATCTACCCCACAGAGAGCTTCTTTCATTACCTAGTCAACCAATATTTGGTATGTTTAATCCAATTACTACGATTGGTCGATCAATTGTTTCCCCGTTAACCTTCAGCAGAATTTTGTGCAACTTTACCTTATTATTTTCTGCGGCGTTGGCTTTGTTTTCTCAGTTTTCCTTAAGTGATTTTGGACCACACGCATTTACCACGCGAGTCCGTCATGTTTTTACAAAGTCAATAGCGTATAAACCGAGGCACGCGTCAAGGTCGGTAAAGGGGGAATCGCGACGGCATCATACACAAGACCACTGGGAAAAAGGAAGACGCCTGTCTTCTGAGGTATCTCAGAAGGATGAAGATAGTTAATAGAGTAGTTCCTCTATATTTGTAGTCTGCGCTTCTGGACTGAGGCACAGAGTTTTTAAATGTGCTGTGCTACAAACGCTTTACTTCCCAAACTTTGCATGTAATGTTTACGACTACAAACAATGATTGTTTCAGCTCAAAAAAACTAAAGAGGGGTGGGAGGGGGGTGTGGGGAGAGAGAAGATATACATGTCTCTTTTTTAACTTGAGAACATTCAAATGAAACTTTTTGGCATTACTTTCGCAAAGGATTTTTTGTACTTTTTCGTAGTTTTACGAAATGGTATCTAGGACATTCGATTCCATGAATTTTGTAGATCCCTTTTGCACGTTTGTCGCTGAGTTTGTTCGTAGCCTTCACCCTGGTGAGTTATGGGGCATCAAAACTTATCAGGGGAACAACCACAAACTCTTGCCCAAATTTCCCCTCTTTGAACAAATTTGTATTCGACCAGATTGCTTAGGCATTCCATTATTACGATGACAGTCAAAGAGCTGAACAATCAAACCCAACAAAAAAGGTGGTTAGATAATTGAGCATGAGTGACAACCTCGTTTACGGGGAAGGAAAGAAACGAAGAAAAAGGTTAATAGAAATGATAATGATGATGGTAATAATAATAATAATAATAATAATAATAATAAATAGTATGCTTACAAGACGCAAAAAATCACGTGCACATGATGTAATGCGCTTTGCAGCAAAAGCAAATTAAATATAAAAGGTACAATGATTTTTTAAAGGAGATTTATAGCCTTTTTTACCTGTACAATGAAAAACATCTTCTTTCTTGCACTGCACGTTACAGCCGTCAGCATCTCTCACATTTCCATCATCGCATTCTTCTCCTATACTTTCCTCTACTATACCATCGCCACAAAAGCCTTGCGCAAGTGAATACACTAAGGGTGGAGAGAACGGGCCCTCAAGTCCAAAACTAGTGACAGCCTTGACTTTGTAGGTGTAAGACTTGCCAGGGATCAAGTGCCTGTACCGACAGTATAAGGTGACACTCAAACGAATACAGAACAAGATGCACGTATATAACCGATTCAACAAAGGTCGCTTTGGGCATTGGGCAATTGCGCACTGGGAAGCTATTGTTTAGTCGCCCACTCAAGCAAATCATTGCATTGTTCCATGTGCCAAACTGTCGATGACCAATTGCCAAAGCAACCTTAATTGAGTTAGGTGTATACACTACGAATAACCTTCATGTTTTTTCGGGCTAGTAAAACTAGCGATGACGCGTGCGCGCGTAAAAAAATTGACACCCGCAAGGAGGGTGACACACGAAGTGGAGGGAGACTTGGTGGCAGTTTCCAAGCGCGGCTGCCTATTTCGCTTGCTCTACTATACACTTATCCTGCGAAAACAGCCGTCTCTACTCGTCCCTAGCGGCTAGGAGCTATTTAACAATTGTTCCTTGAGCCCGAATGGGCTCTGAGTCAATAGCCCATGAGGCCGAAGGCCGAATGGGCTATTGACTCAGAGGCCATGAGGGCGAGAGGAATAATTGTTTTAGTAAAATCCAACTAGTTGGTCAAAAATATCGAGACAAAACAACTTTAGCTAGTTAAAGCTAGACTTTAATCCTTTTTTGCCGCCAAAAAGCCGGCGCTTTGCGCTACTAGTGGGCTATAACATATAGCCTAGTAGTAGCTCAACCAATCAGAATGCAGCATTGATAATAGACCACAAGCCGGATTTTACTAAACTACTTTATTTAAAACTGAATCATTGGATAATGTAATTCTAGCATTTTGATTGGCTTAGCCGTTATGGTATATGAGCTACTATACACTACCCTTGAAAAAAATATGGTTGTCTGCTATGGCTACTCCAAGGAATAAAATATAGCGAAATCATCAGCACCTCGTCTTTTGTTATTGCTCTTCAGAATGCGTTTTTGCCACCTTGCTAAGAAGTGGGGTGGTAGTTAGGGGTAAAAATAAAAACAATGAGAAATGACTCTTACCTATCTTCAAACCTTGTTGCTTTTACGCGCTGTGCGCGTCCAGGCGGAAATGGTGGTTGCCTAGAGACCAGATACTCAATTGGTTCACACTCTCGACAGTTTGGATGATTGACAGATGACGTCAGTTGAATGGCATCAATCACAGTCATTTCTTTGACATGGACACGAATCTTCGAGACGTTTTTATTGACTTTTAAAGGCATAGTCAGCGGAGAATCGCACTGAGCCGTGGCATTGCCTAACGACTTCTCCGTACCATCAACAAAGAATAGGGTGATATCATTGATTCCTTCTTTTGAATTCCAAACAACCCAAAGGGACATACTAGTCGGAGTAACGGCTTCCTTGAATCCAAACACAATATAACCACCCTCATAATGAGCAACGGGACTCCATCCGTGTGGGGATAAATTGCAAGACTTGGCGTCAGGAGCTCCCGTTGCCTGATGAGGGGACCAATAACCATTCGGCTTGGGAGGAACCGAAGACGTCGCAGTCTTAGCATACTGTTGAAACACTCTGTCTTCACGGCACTCGTGACAACTGTTCAGTGCGTTCGCTCCTCCCGTCCCCAAAGGTGGAATCCATGTAAGAGTTACTTTATCTTTCGCTTTAGAAGTCACGCGCGGTGGAAGCGGGATGAAAGAAGGCGGGGTTTTTTCTTGTTGCCACGACTGGTAGACCAGATCAATGTAACAGTGCATTCTGGCTGCTTGTTGCTCAGTGAAGGAGTCAAGACATGAATCATTAGCGTAACTCATGTAGTTGCTAAAAGGCGTGTTCCTGAGTTTTTTCACTCCGCAGACCATGCTGTCTTTGCCCACAGGATCGCTACACAAATTGTTCGCAGGTGTTGGATTTGTATCCGAGCACAGGTCCCCCAACTCAAGAGAAGGGAAGAACTCAGCACATTCATCGCCACAGTCCATTTCTGAAACTCCGTGGTGTACGTGCCACAGGCCCAGTACATGACCGAACTCGTGAACAAGAGCATTTGTATGGTGTTTTTGTCCGAAGTTCTTCGGTAGCATAATAACACCACCGTAAATGCTATGAGCAGATTTATCCCAAGGGAAAGTGGCAACTCCCTGTAAGTTCTCATTACTCCAGCCAACCAAGTAGACATTCAAAAAATGCCAATTGTCCAAATTTAGAAGGGATTTGTATTCTCTGTCACTCATGTACGCCCTGTTCGGTGACGTAGGGTCGAAGCATGTTTGGTACACGTCAGTTATGCTGACGTTGCAACACTCACCAGCGTCCCACCCGTTGTAAAACTTGTTGCATTCTGGGTCACACTTGCCATTTCCACGCTTTTCCGGATCACAAATAACTTGGGTCTGATCGCAGTCCCCTCCATCATTTCCTGTGATATTGTGCATGCAGTTGTCAGAATTGCAGATCAAGTCGCCGATTTTTTCTGGTTCGCAATGCCAAATGACCGTGCGACGTCGCAAGGACGTGTTTCGAATTTCATGCTCTTGGAGCTGGAAGGAAATGTTGTAGGGTGCGAAGGCTTTGTTCAGCTGAACGTGTTGAAATTTAATTTGTTTTTTGGTTACTATCGGGTTAGAGCCATCATCCTCCAAGATATTAACAACACGATATCTCACGATCTTTTTGCCTCGCAAGTGGGTATTTTTGACATAACTCCTGATAATCTCAGGATTATCGCACACTGTAGTACCACACGGGGGCTTCACGATCGCCAAATCGTGAGGATCGGCCGGTATAGTTGACTCTATGACTTCCGGTGGATTTGCAGAGGTTGGGACGATTGTCCATGTGGTCTTAGGATTGCGATTTAGTTCCTCCTTTTCTGCAAAGCTTTCATACATCACTAGGAATGGTTCAACATCACGAACGGGGGTAAAAACATTGGTGCTGATTTCTTTGTGGGATTTCGCAATTGACCAGAATCGCACTTCGTCTATTGTTCCACGAAAGAACGTAGCTGAAGAGACGTTGCCCCCAGCTTCTAAATGCTCACAGCCGTCAAAGCCTTTTGCAAAGATGTGGCCTTTCTGCTCTGATGAAACAGCTACTTTAGCTTGATTGATGTATAATATCATTCTTTTTCCATCGTAAGTTGCTGCTACATGAAACCAAGTGTTTGGCTCCACGCTGAGAGGAGATATCAGCTTCGTGTCGCTATGTGATCGCTGCGAGCGAAGTCGAAAGAAAACTCTCAAACCTCTTCCCTCTGCGCTGGCTTCGTCAAGCCCTACTTCCCAGCCTCCATCTTTCGATTCCGATGAGCAGTCGTCAAAGAGCCCAATCACTGTAACCGGCGATCTCTGACCGCCCTCGGGCTTCATCCAAAACTCCAAGGTGAACTGGTGTGATGGAATTTTGTAAGGGCCGGCAAATCTGACGACATCGCTGCCTAAGAATTGTAGCGCCTTGCCAAATTTTGAGCCCGTTGGTGGGGAGAACGGAAAGCGACCATGATCGTAGCGTTTTACACGCCGCGTCGAAGTGCCGCTCGATATGTGTTGGTCTTCTTCTAACTCTGCAGCCCTTACAGCGTTTTCAAACTCTGCGTTCCCTGAGGTCACTTCTACACGCAAAAGCAAGGAAAGAAGCGCAACCAGTAACAGCGGGTGAATCTTTTTTTCGAGAAGGTCCATTTTGAACCTCAATGTTCTCGTTGTACTTATCTGTTCGTGCAGAAACGGCGATAAAAAAAAACTTTGAAGATTAAAAAGCGACCTTTCCTGTTTCGTAGTTTGTGTAAAGTAAACAGCTGTGAAGATTTGACCCTGTTGATTGTAAAATTAAACCATTCGTCAGATCATATCACAAGTTAGCGTTCTGTGATAAACTACAATGGACTTTTTCGCGTACAAAATAGACTCAAAGTATCTGAGGTGTAAAAATCTACACCTGAACAAAAATGAAAATGAATTTCTGCTGAAACATCAACATTATAAATAGTTTCTGATTTCTCCGTCTTAAAATAAGCAAAGGAAATCTAGCCCTATGATTGACATTCAACTGATAGCTGAAACCCCATGGAAAACGCCGGAAATCTATCACGTACTTCTTCTTTTTTAGAGGTTAAGGTTCAAGTCATTGCTTGAAATTTTTTCGTTATCGTGAACACGACAACAATCCACAGATCTTGTCGACTATTTCCTTTGTCGAACTATTGGATTACGTAACTTTGGAAAATTGCAAAGCAAGCTGTAATTTTTCGAAAACAAATTTAAAAAAAACTTCAATGAAGCGGAAACAAGGTAACACATTAGTTTTTGTTTTGTTACCGAAAGCAGTGACAAATGAACATCGCAAGAAAACAAAGGCGCATTGTCCTTTTGTCTTTATGAATCTGTATATCAAATATTGGGAGGAAATGCTACATGCTCGAACAAGTTTTCATTATTCTTTACGAAAAAAGAAAACAATCAAGCAAACAACAAGCAACAACAAAAAGTCGAAGTGTCGAAAAATCTTCCTGTCAACGTGTACATGAAAAAAATGAGAAAATTGTAGCCTTGCCCCGGAAGAGTCCACCTGGAAAATTAATCATGGTCTTTCGTGGGTGGTAAACTTAAGAGCTGCGGCTTTCACCGCTCATGTACGTTGGGTTTTGCGGTAGATTTTGCGGTATAAATGGGGTTCCGGGTTTAGAACGGTGAAAGGGCTCATTATACAGAATACTGTATATTTTAAGCAGTCCAATTAATTACAAGTTATTTGTTTTAAACCTTGAATCTCTTTCTTTCCGTCGGATTAACGGCTTCTTTTTAAATTTATCTAGTGCCCTAGAAGCCAGGGTGGGGGGGGTACTCAACAGTCTTATTCGGGAAGGCTCCCCAGCTTCTAAAGGTCCAACCCCTTATCCTTTTATATGGCCATTTTTGACAGAGGTATAGGGCAGGTACCCCTCTCGTATATATATGGCAGGAATTTGTCGGAGAGTGGTTGGAGAGGAATAAATTATTAAAATTAAAGTCTGTACTAAAGGTACACTGTTTTAAAATTTTAATCGAATGTGCGTATGATCCATGCGCTCGAATGGATTTTATTTTTGGAAAAGAAGGACAGAAATATTTCTTCAGCCTAGCTTTTTAATAATAAGAAAATTTACATGAAAACGGATACAAGGCTTTTGATATAAAGATAAACAGAAATTCAGCCCAGTGTTCTTCTTAGGTGTTCTATCAAGAAGGCGCTTTTTAAAGAGTTTTTCTTTTCCATTTTCGTTTTCAAACTTATTGTTCATGTTTTAACTACATTATGACATCCATTATCCTTCTCTCAATAAACTCTGGAAAACGTTTATAGAAGTTGTCACAAGGTCTCGTTTTGCTTTTGTACGTATCAAAAAGATGTACCACCAAAAAAAAACTGTGTATGAGGTCGATCACGAGCGTGGGAGTGGGGAGTTGTCTCAACATAGCGCGCGTGCTTGCCCTACTGATAGGTCCCGTTGAGCCGCTATGAACAAAATCTTTATTTACGCACGCCCCTGCGTAAATAAAGATTTTTTTCATGATGACGTGTTCAGCTGTGTTTTTCGTCGCTTTTCCTAAGCCGACCCAAAATCAACGGCAATGATGAAAAACTTTCTAGATTTTTTTGGAATTTAGCTTCGTTCTAGCCACTCAAACCAACAGCAAAAGCGGTGAAGATGTTTAGCAAATAATAGAGCCTGACGGATTCGTTGAAAAGTCTGCCGTTAAGTCTGCAGTAAAGACTGACTGAAAATATTCAGTTTGTATAAAGCGTCCTCCGTTATTAAAGTTTGTTTATCCTTTACAAAAAGAGTTAATAATAAAGGAAGCTCAATAGCGAAAAATTATGCACTTTTGTTATCGCCGAACAATACGACTGAAACAGGAAAATTTCTCTTTCAATAACAAGACAAATTATACAAGAAGACATAAATTTATAAAACAACTACTGCCAGGTCTTCTCAAGAAGCCGTTATGACAAGCCATTGTTCGTAAATGAATACAATAATAGGATGACAGTCGTCTTTGCTAAAAAACAGGTTTTCTGTATTTCGCCGAGCAAAACATAAACATCTTTTCAGCAAATCCAAACCATACTCCACGACTTCTTACGAACAGGTGAGTACTTTAACTTTAGGTGGACTTTAAGACTCTTTTACCTTTGTTTCTGCTTAGTTTCCGTTCGTTTAATAACGAAAAAATAGGAAAATTTTCTTTCTCAGTTTTACAGAAAGAATTTTCATTCAAACTAGACTTTTTTATACGATGATGTGAATGCTACGCGCGTTGTCAGTGATTGGTCGTTGCCCATGATCTATCAGAGTACAGTACATGGATGAAACTTGTCTAATGCTTTGTTTTGTTCAACATGGCGCGCTGTTTTGAAAATGCTTCTGAGATTATTTCGGATTAAAGCAAGTGAAATCCTTGAAAAAAGTTCAACAGGAGCTATTTACAAGAAAGAAAAATGGAGAAACGGGGACCAAAAGAACTCTAGACTACTTTAGAATGCCTAAACTACAAGAAATCCTCACAACAGCTGCCATCTATCGTGTTTCATCGCTATGAGAGACTCGCCGTTTTGCAAAATGTTTTCAGTTTTTTCGCCATTATTCTGCTTTGAGCAAGAAAAGACGTTGAAAAACTTTTCGAAGAAACTATATACAGTTGAGATAAAGAAAAAAAAAGAAGAAGCAGCGACGAAAAGTAGCGCTTGGGACTTAAAAAATGCCTGAACTAACTCAAATTCTCGAACAGTCTTGAAAGCGGTACGAGGCAGGTATGTGTATCGGTCTTTTTCCTATTCTGATCATTGTATAAAACAAATAGATTCCATATTGCCGTGGGTCTGTTCAGTAATAGATAACAGAGGACGTCAAAATGTGGTAAAAACATCAGTGGCACACGAGCCGCAACTTCATTGTTTTTACCACATTTTGACGTCTTCTGTGATCTATTACTGAACAGACGCAGGGCAACATGGAATCTATTTGTTAAGTGGCGTGTTTGTAATCAGCCAATAGAAGCGTTCGTTATCGTGTCACGCGTTACGAGAATTTTACAGTTTTAAAATAAAAAATCAAGCATCTTTGTCAGCTATGTTATAAAGGATTTGCTCATGCTTTTAGATGTGCGTATATCGAGCTATGGATGCAGTTGGGAAGTTTGGAGAGCACTCAAGCTGCTAGAGTTGCTCTTGGGAGCGCCTCTAGCAACTCTTTCGCATCTTTCGTGCTCTCCAAACTTTCCGCGTGCATCCACAAGCATGAACAAATTCTTAATTTTCGCGTGCCTGGGGGTGGGTAATCCCGGGGGGGAGGTACTTTAGGACGTTTTGGGTGGAGATGTGCCGCTGCGACCCTGGAACCCTTAGCCTTAACCAGAGCTAGTTCAAATGAATTTTGCTACCCTACACTAGACTAAACTCCCCAAATCCCCCCTATCCTGGAGTAGCTGTTTTCCAGAAACAACTGAGGTCACTAGTACAGTCCAGCCAAAACAAAACCGATTTGATTTTTTATATCCTTGAGTGGCAGGAGCCGCTCCTGTGAGTGGCAATTCCCGGTTTCCCTAGTCTAGACTAAAATCTTCAGCCAATTGATCAGTTTAAATGGAAAATGATACCCTCTTCTAGACCCAAACTCTCTGATTTATATACCCTATCCTTCAGTAAACTGCTCGAAAATCATACCCTTCACAGCGCACATACCTATATAGCCCATATATGGCAGTACTCCCCCGCCCCGGATGGGTAATAGACCGCCAAGAAAGAAAAAAATTGCGAATCCCCTGGGGTACGCCTGAGGGGACATTGTTGCAAGTCAAAATTGAACCATGCATTACGTCGCTTGTCATCAAAGCGAAAGCTTCGATAAGCTTTAAACTTCAGCGGTAATTTAAGCTGTTTCATTATTTTCTATTGCATATGAACGGCCTTTGGTCACTGGACACGAATTGAATATTCGATCGAATTTAAGTAATGGTCCAGCTAAGAAGCAGGCAGAAAAACAAGATTTCGTGCAGTCATGACTGTAAACATGCATTACTTGTGTCACGCATTACTGTTTCAATGTATCTTTGCCGGCGAATACAGCCGTCCCCTCGCTTCTCACCATTCGCAGGCTAATTGTACCTAAGCAAATGTGAATGAAATCGTTGAATTAAATATGAGTCTTATTTACTTTGTTGTTCAATGCAGTTTTCATGATCCATATTGATATCCTTTTGCGTAGGGATTACAAAATTATGAAAGCGGTTTTTCGTCACCCTAACCCAGCTTTTATTAGCCAACGGCTACTGCTAGCTATAATTAAAAAAAACCTTGTGCTGACGGTTTTCCACTATCATGGTTAATGGCCAACGTACGTAGGTGATGCCCAAATGCGGAAGGTATTACCCCCTAAAAATTTCAATCGAGCCACGTTAAATTTTAAAAAGTTGGTTTACATTACATTGCATCACATGGGGAAGACGAAGACGAAGACTTTAATTTTAGCGCCCTCAAAGATCTTACCTTGATTTTTCAGTTTGAAGAAGTGATTATCAGACCTCAAGCTGGTCATGGAAGTCAGTCGGAAAAAACTGGATTCCGAATCATAAGAGTAACTTTCGATCAGGGTGGTATGACTGCACGCTATAAACAGGCCGCTGGGAGGGTCCACGATGACAACCCACAAAACGTCACTAATCACACGGATCACAGCATTGTACTCCTGGGCGAAACACGACTACAAAATATCTAAATCTGACTTTTCTCCGGGGCTGTCTAGACTGAGATAGCAGGACAGTAGTCGAATGCCAAGTTATGATCAACAAACTGAGGAAATACTTCCATAAACTGACCAGTGGATAACCGATGTTAACTGGACGAGACAAAAACAAAGCAATGGAGGGGAAATCCCGGGGGGGAAATCTCATGAACTCTCCTTCAAAAAGCGGTTGCGCCAACGAAAATACAGAGAAGCTGAGCCTTTTGCATGATATATATAGCAGATGGGCCGGCATAAGCAGAAAAAACCGTAACCTTGACATGAACATCGAAACTTCTTTTCATTTCTTTTTTTAAAAAACTATACCCTAGACAATTGAAACAATAGACTGAATATTTTCAGGGCACGAGTTCACTGCAAATTTACCTCATCACAGATAAGAGATTTTGGGTAATTACTATACTTTGTAGTAAGCAAGCTTTGCGGGAGGGACTGATGAATCTCGATTGCCGCACACTGAATTGAAAGGTATTTAACTATAGAGTTTTCAGATGATGCCAATTATAATTCCAATTAAGGATTATAGGTCTGCCAACACCCCTTTCAGAGGATTACCACGGATTAACTTTCAGAAGAAAAACCTAGAATACCATAGATGAAAGTTTTTCTCTTTAAAAGATAAGGTTGCAAAGAGCATTTTCTTATGTTCTAGCTTACACTTTCTGAAGGATGGATCAATACACTCAAAAAGTTAACATAGAAGTAGGAATGATTTTTGGCGAGACTTCTTTTCTACTCAGCGGTGAAAATTTGGTTCTATCAGTCAACCTTTTTGGATCTAAATCGTGATAAAAAACGTCAATCACCAAAAGATTATCCCCTGTCTTGAGTGCTTAATCGAAAGACAAGCAAATAAAAACAGGGACAAAAGTTGAACTGTCATTTTTAAGTCTTTTGTATTTCAGACGCAGAAATCCTTCCGTTGATAAAGCCCTCCTTTATAGGGTAAGCTCATCGAGTTATTTCAAGTCAGGGCAGAACGCCCTAAGGCAAACACGTAAGCGATGGTGTCATTTGGAGCTATTTCATGGCAGAAGAAACTGTTTAGTCAATGCCAAAAATGTTGAAGAGCATCTAATCCTGGCGAAAGAGACAAAAAAGGACACTAATCTCCAAATCCCCAAAACGAATATTTCAGTACTGAATCCAGAGCATATTACTGAGACTAATGGTTTACACAACCTACTAGAAGTAACGATTAGCTAAAGGAGGTCACCACTTTTATGAGCTTAGTCAGGCAACTTGTCTCGGTGCCAAATAGTCTGCGTAATTCTCATTCATCTTCTACGGCGATTTTTCCGTACCTTTTGTGTAATTTGTAGTTTTCTTTCGATGACATTTGATCTAGCGCTATCTAGTGGCTTTAGATCGTACTGGTTCCTGTTCCTGGTCAATCTCGCACGTTTAGTTCAGTCGGTATCTGGCAAAACTCTTGGCTCATTTGTGAATTTGATGCTCAAATAACTGTCGTCAGTATTCAAAGTTATAATTTAATACTAGAGGAATAAAGAATTTGATGTTTCAAATAACTGTCGTCAGTATTCGGAAAAAATATCTGTTATAATTTAATACTAGAGGAATAAAGATGAACGGATATTTAAAAAGGCCAAGAATTTTCGGGAGCCTTTTCCGGGCTGAAATTTTCGAAAAGGTAAGTTTTTTTAATTGTTTCAAGAAATCCGAAGGATGAGGGCTGTTTAAATACTAAAATACGTTCAACAATGCTAAGTGGTTTTCAAATAGATAGATCAACAGTATCTTGGCTTGAAATATTCAGATTACTCATTCTCTCTTGCTTACATAGAAATATTGCTGCAAATTCCTCAATTCTTTCGTAGGCAGAACATTTTAGAGTCACCCTGGAATCGAAAGCTCTCTATATGACCTACTATCTGATTATCACTTTCTCAGTCAAAATTTTGCTAGCTGTTGCCAGGGGGGGTTACCCCAGGGGGTTGCCCCGACGTAATACTCCCTATGATGGCCTACGTCGTGAGGCCCGCCCAAAAGGGATTCCTTTTCCAGGCTTCATGTATCTAAAAGGGTACGGATTTCGTGAGTCAAAGCATTACTTTTATAAAAGGTGTATAGGGAAAATTATCATTCAGGTAAGTATCTAAAAGGGCTTTGAAAAGGGCCTTTCAGTGGAAGGTATGCGAAAGTGTTCCTTTTCTGTCAAAAAATGGTAGATAAAAAGGACCCCGGGGTGGAGCCTTCCCGTATGAAACTTTGTTGAGAAGCTCCTCCGAGGCTCAGTAGCTTCAAATTAACAATGCAGAGGCATTATACGCAAACTTAATTTTTAAATAACTCAGTCTGTAAAGAATAGAGACCTTTAGATTCGAGGACAGGACGCCGGACTACGAGTACGAGATTTGACTTGAAGTTTTTCACGTATTCTCAAAATATAGACTTCCCGGAAAACTTCATTTTACCATTTTTCACTAGAAAAGTTTTCACTATTATCTTTAGTGAAGGAGGTTACGCGCTCTCCCTATCGCAAAATGATAAAACCTCTAACGAGGCCCTCCCAGGGTAAATTCCGACAAGCGACATGACCCAAAAAGTAGCGACAGAGCCTAAAATGAAATGGCGACAAGCGACAACCTCCTTCGGCCAAATTGCGACAGTGACGGCGAAGCCGAGAATATGCGACAAAGAACGGTGGTTTGGCTAATTTATCACCAGTCTGAGTGCCAAGAAGAAGTAATTTTCGTCAATTTTCCTTGCGCTTCAGAGATTGTCTCTCGTCAGGGAGTTTCAGTGGACCCTCCCGAGCGCGTCTTGTTGGCCAGTCGCGTAGTCTTCATTTACGCAACCCCGCACAACTCTTGGGAGACCTTGGAACTAGGTTGTCCGTCAAATAGCTTAATTTACGCACGCTTTACATCTCTTGTAATCACTACTTTCATATAGACCATGATGCACCTTGTTTCCCCTCCTCAGAATTTTGCATAACCAATGTTTCCAAATTCTCCAGGGTATTACAGTCGTCCCAAGAGAAATCGAAAACAATGGTTATGAAAAGTTTTGGGGGGTAAACAAGGTGCATTATGGTCTATGTGAAAATGGTGAATACTTTGCTTGTTTCTGAACGTCTCATATCCTTGTCGACCTCTGTCGGACGGTGACGACGGTGGAGAGACCAGGGACCAGGTAACTTAACCACCGCACAGCGTAGACCACCGTTAACCGCCGGCCTTCACGTACGATTTATCAGGTCAGTTAGTCTTAAAATGTTGAACGCGGATCACTTAGGGTGTGCTGACAGTGTTTCTTTAAGCGAATCCAAAAACGGATTTCTGATCCGAGATTCGCCGGATTTCGCGGTCGAAAGGAACGTGAAATCCGAAATTGGATTTGTGACCTTGGTAACCTTTCGCAAACGCGTGCAATATGCATGACAGCCTGAGCCTCTCTAGAAATGAAATGTTTTCTACTGTTTGACAAATTATGCGATTATACCGTACAGAATTTTGTGGTCGGCAGTTCGAATAACGACGATGGAACATAAACAGATCAAGAAAGTAGCATGTTAAAGTTGAAAATTATCTAAAGGTTGTCGGCTCAGTTTGATCCAGTTTCGTAGCTCGGTTTTCTATGTAACACGATCGAGTGCCTATTATCGCGTCCAAAAGCGAGTTTGTAGAAAGATAGCAGTTATTTGTCCCTTTTACTTATTTGTGTTTTTAAGCAATCTTTAGCGACAAATGGTCAGCACATGGATATTTTACTGTACCACTATGAACAATCTTCTAGTGTTTTCAGATGTTTTACGGCAAATGGCAGCAATTAGGAAACTCTACGGGAATACTTCAACTGGAAGTACAGCTGGATCATCTGACTAATTTCGAAGCCACTGTGAATGGAACAGCGTAGATGACTAATCCGTTAATCTGGATTCGGATTCTTCGGATTTCAAATCCAATGTGAATCCTTTTTCAAAAAGGATTCACCAGATCAAAACCCAAATTTGAATTTGCCGAAAGGAACGCGAAATCCGTTTTAAGATCCAAAATCCGTTTCTGGATTCACCGAAAGGAACACACCCTTAATTGTGAATGGCGATGTATAGGTGTTCTATACGCGAAAGGTTAACTGGGAAATTGCACAACTGTAATGGTTTCTTTAAAACCCATCGCTATCCCCCTTTTCTAAAATTCCGACAAAGACAAAGAATTTTAGTTCAATTTCCGACAGCGACGTGAAGCATTAATAAACACCGACACGAGACGTTTAAAAATTCAGACGAGCGACATGGGAGCCCCCCCTGGCAGGGCCTCTCTAACATTTGTTTCCGCCACTTCGACATTCTCGCGAAGACTCGTAGTACGGAATGACGACGGCTACCACCTTTTCCCGCCAAAATCACGCTGGTTCTCACGCGCGCACTACTTAGTATTGAGAAAATTTCGTACTCGTAGTCGTCTTAGAATCTAAAGGTTTCTAATACTAGCTGTAACTAGGTCTTCAATCAAATTTAATTGTAGTCCATAAGGGCAAATCCGTTGGTCGGATTACTGGCTGGCTACGGTGCCAATAAATGGACTGAAAGACTGTCGGGTCTTAGTGTGTGTCATTGATTGATTGCAAGATTAAATGAAACCCACTTTTCTTTTTACGAGGAAAAAATCTGTTGAAGAGAAAGAACTGGATTGTGATTACCCAAGTAAGAAATACGTTTAATAAACTTAACGTCCTACATATAATAAATATATCGCACCTAAAATTTTCCATACTTGTCAGACAAGTTTCCTTTCTTGTATGAAAAGTTCCCATTAATAAACTCAGCTACAGATCTCTCCAATTTGGTCGGCCCTTATTCTCAGTTTCATTGAAAATGTAAGTCAAAGGTTTCCAGCGGTTATGTACGAGTATCAGTAGCCTATTTGCCATCTTTTTAAAACGCGGCTTAAAACCTTTTACGTATCAA